GTTTAGCTCTATTGAAGTAAATCAGTACCCCCACCTTCTCCGATGTGGTGCTTTTCATGTTTTCAACAACTCCCGTAATATCTGACCACTGGCCATAATGGCTGGGGTGGATGGTAATCGGAATCTAACAACATATGGAGGGCACTAAGTTGGTTCCCATTTATTGCAAGCTTTCTCCCCACCCCCCCACCCCATAAAGATTATTATCTATTATATTGCAAGCTTTCAAAATTGTGAGTTAAGACAGAAACTTACCGTATTTTATTTATGAAAAGGTGCTTTTTTAAAAAAAAACCTGGGGGCTTTTTGTTGTTGTTGTTAAGAAATGGCATTTGTAAAATTTGTGAGGGAAGTCCTTAGAAAAGAACTTTCAATTAAAAAAATTAAGGTACTACTAGATTCTCCCCTTCTCTTGGCTGCTTTAAAAAGCAATTGAGAATTGTTTTTCCATGGAATTTTGCAAACTCTACAGATTGCTAACAAAAGAATTTTTTCATGAGCAAATCCTCTCAATTACTACATATGCAGCATTTTCTTCTATAGACAGTGCCACTCAGCTTGTCTGTTATGGAAAGCTCTTTCAGCACATTCTATTTCTAGTTTTTCTCAGTCAGATCCATAGGCATTTGGCAATGAAACAGCTGAACTGATCTCACTTGATGCCAGCTTCCAAAAGGCTATTAGTAAGTGCGTACTAGAATCATTATCCCAAGGAGTTTCTTCCATTTCCCCCACTCCAAAACCATGGCCTCCAAAGGGTATTAATTTAATCCTGAGTTGGGAAACATGCGGCCTTCTACCTTGTTTCATAAGATCCTCTGGATGCTATGATTCCATCCCTGGTCTTTGGACCACCCCAGTGGGCACCTCCATGTGGGTGGCACTGTGGTCTAAACCACAGAGCCTAGGGCTTGCCGATTAGAAGGTTGGCGGTTTGAATCCCCGTGTTGGGGTGAGCTCCCATTGCTCGGTCCCTGCTCCTGCCAACCTAGCAATTCAAAAGCATGTCAAAGTGCAAGTAGATAAATAGGTACTGCTCCAGTGGGAAGGTAAACGGCGTTTCCGTGCGCTGCTCTGGTTCGCCAGAAGCGGCTTAGTCATGCTGGCCACATGACCTGAAAGCTGTACACCGGCTCCCTTGGCCAATAAAGCAAGATGAGTGCCGAACCCCAGAGTCGTCAGCGACTGGACCTAATGCTCAGGGGTCCCTTTACCTTTACCTTTCCTCTAAGTACTGCAAGGTGGCATACATAGCTCAACATCTTTTTATCCTGCGACATAGGTTAGAGTGAAATAATGACAGGCCCATGGTCATTCAGCAAGCTTCATGGCTGAATCAGGATTTGAATTCTGGATTCCAAAGTCTTAGTTGAGGGGTAGAGAATCTTTTTCAGCCATTCCCTTTTGGGTAAGGCTTCTGTAATGGGTTTAGGGGTTGCTCGTGCGTAAGTTGCCGCCACTCCTGGCTAGGTTACCTGGTTGAACCCTTTCTGACTGGACAGCCTCTAGCTTCGTGGCTGTCTCAGTCGCTGGCAGAATCTGTCAGTGGGCGTTTCTTGAACTTCTTCCAGCAAAGAAGTTCCTTGACGCCAAGTTTCCTCCTACTCTCCCTGCGCGGAAGCCTTCTGCACAGGGAGGGTGTGGGCAGCGGAGTACCCGTACTCTCTCCGCTGGTCTCCGGCGAGGAGTCTTGGAGCCTCCTCTCCGATTCCCCCATCTGCCCCCCTTCTCTACCGGTGTTACGCTGATTTCCTTCCCCAGCAGATGGGCTGCCTCTCTCCCTACCGGGACCCTCTCCGGCATCCCTCTGGAGCCTTCCCTCCGCCTCTAGCTCCGATGGCAGTTCCCTGACAGCTTCTGAGCAGCACATGGCAGGCAGGGCCAGAAGCAAAAGCAGGCTGAGCAATAGATGCGAAAGGTATCTTTGTATGTTGGGCTAGTTTCCAAACACATTCAGACACTTTTCTTTGTTCTCCATCGAAGGAAGCAGGAGGCATTTTCAGACTTCAATGGTATGTTCCTGGAATACAAAAACACTCAAAGAGTACTAGGACAAAGCAGTACTAGGACAGGGTATGGCCTGAGGAGAGTCTCCAGAGCCAGATAGAAAGACCTCATCCCTATCCTAGTTATGCAATATAACCACTTTACCCAACAGTAGGGAGCCAGCTATAAATCACACTGAGCAAGTTGGATTCTTTATTAGAAAAAACAGGATCTGCAACTCATCTCCAAAAGGTCTTGTCCCCATGAAGTGGTTGCTGAGACTGAAGGTCCCTGTCTCCCCACAGCTACCTAAGTCCCCTGTTCTCCAGGGTTTCCCCCAAGCACTGAGACTGTGCCTATGTAAAGCTAACTTATCCTCCGCACTCTCCATGCCTCTTGTGGTTCTGGGAGACCAGCGGGCAGGGGAGCTTGTCGCAGCTGGAGGGGGAGACACCCATGACTCTTCACCAGCCTGACTCATCTCTGCCTCTTGGCCCCCCTCCTCCTACTCCCCTGCTCCAGCCTCTGCCTCTGATTCTGAACTTCTCTCTGCCACCGACTCTCCCAGCTCACTAATCCCTGTTTCCTCTTCAGTGGTCCTTCATAGGAAAAAGGTTCTCCACCTGATTTAATGCACTCTAGGCAGGGCTGGACTTAGGTTTGATGAGGCCCTAAGCTACTGAAGGTAATGGGGCCCTTTATATGTCCAGCTGTCCTTTGTCAACAACAAATTGTCACTTGAGTTGAATATATCCTATATGGTAATTTGTGGACCTAACAGATATCTAAAGTCAGTTGCCACTGTTACTGTATGTAGGTTTTATTTTATTTGTTTTTTATCTTATATTTTAGAAATGTACATCCAGGTTTTTTCCTTTAAATTTTTTTGGGGGCCCCAAGACAGTGGGGCCCTAAGCTATAGCTTGTTTAGCTTATACGTAAATCCAGCACTGACTCTAGGAGAGCTTTTCCTCCAATCTGGATGCTACAGCTACTAAAATGAACTTAATATATAAAGTTTTGCTTTCTTTTGAAAAGTTCCATAATGCAAAAATGTGGTTTCTTTTGCCATGAAAAAGTACTTCAAAGGCAACTTCCTGCTGCTGCTTTGGCAGTGTATGGTTTTTGTCAGATGGTGACAAGGGAGAGTTTCAGGTTCAAACCAAATTTTTAGGGCCCTTGCCCAAAACAAATTAATATACAAAAAATAGTCTTGAGAGTCCACATTAAGGTGAAAAGGTAATTTCTGGAGCCATGACCAGACTAACTATATGCTTTGGTTTCATCAAGGTACAGCACACTGACATAATTATTAATAAGTACAGCTTGCATTCTGCAACATGATACCTCCTGGCTTTTGTAATACCATGACTGTGAAAATCACATCACATGTCACCTGGCCGGTTTTCAGACTTGCATTCCTGGCAGGCAACAGAGCTTCTTCTCCCACAATCTGAAGGCCTAGACTTACTACTTAGAAAGGTGAGCAATATGGAAACATAAATTCCTGAAAACAGCTGTGATCACCTGATATCACAAAAACAGTGAATTTTGTGGCATCTTAAGAGACTGTGCAGCCCAATGTTTACATTTACATGGAGTAAGATCCCCTGTACTGTAGTACTTTGTTCCCTTTACTCCCTTCCTGCATAGTATGTTTAGGACTGAAGCTTTATTGTGGCATGAAATTTGGGAGACAAGAGCTTATTAATTCACCAGATGCATGAAACCAACTCTAGGGAAGGAAACTCCTAAGGTAGAAGATCATGTTGCAATAAGGCTGTTGTCTTTGGACAGAAGCAGGATGGGAAATTATTGTTATTCAAGGTGAACAAGGCTATAGCAAAAAAACACATTAGGGATGTAGGACAGCAAAGGGGCACAGGTTAAACTTTAACCAGGTCTGTGAGACAGTAAAGACGTGTATTGATAGGCAGCAGCGTTTGTCAATTGTGGGGAACCTATGATGAACCACACTCCCATCATTCCCAATAATTTGCCATGTTGGCTGGGGCTGATGGGAGTTGGAGTCCAACAGTGGTTAGAGTGTCAGACTAGGACCGGGAGGACCACAGTTCAAATCCCCACTTGGCCATGAAGCTCACTGGGTGGCCTTGGGCCAGTCATTGCCTCTCAGCCTCACAGGATTTTTTGTGAGGATTAAATGAGGAGGAAGAGAACCATGCACAGCATCTTGAGAGCCTTGGAGGGAAAAAAGTAGGACAAAAAGTGAGAAAGAGGTGAGACAGAAAATAAAATAAATAAACAGCTGGAGGGCCACAGGTTCTCTAGTCCTCCTTACTGAATTTCCTTCCAAAAAGGTAAGAATATCTTTTGCTGAACTCAGAACTTCCCCTCCAGATTTAAGGATTTAGGAACAAGTTTTAAAACCAGTGCTTTTTTCCTTAAAAAATGTTTAGGGGTACTCTCATTTTGACTCAAGAAAACCACCATTTTATAGTTACAGGTAGGTAGCCGTGTTGGTCTGCCGTAGTTGAAACGAAATAAAATAAAATAAAATAATTTCTTAAAAATTCCTTCCAGTAGCACTGTAGAGACCAACTAAGTTAGTTACTGATATGAGCTTTTGTGTGCATGAAGAAGTGTGCATGCACACGAAAGCTCATACCAATAACTAACTTAGATGGTCTCTACGGTGCTACTGGAAGGAATTTTTAAATTTTATTTATTTTATTTTGTTTCCACCATTTTATAGTTCAAAACGGGACAAAAGAACAAAGATTCACAAAAAGTTTAGGTGTATGCGTCCCCCTAGGAAAAAAAGCAGTGATTAAAACACATACTATCAGCATAACTATGGACAGTACAATTCTCACCCTACACATTCCTAAACGTTCCTGTTTCGAAAATGGAAAAGCTTGCTAGTTCCAGGAAACGTTCCCCTTTTGAAATAAACACCATCTGCATCTACCTACAGGCGCTGCCTGGGGAAAAAAACCAAAAGAAAACAGGCGATGGGTGGCAAGGCGACGATTAAATATTTTTGAGCTGCTTCGGCTCCCGTAGTCCGCCGCCCTAGCTACTGTCTTCCCCATGGAATCTTCCTGGGTGACTCTGGGCATCGCAGCTTTCCTTTTGCTCTTGCCGTTTCTCTTCGCCGCGCGGTTCCTCCGAACGAGGCGAGCGCACGTCCCGCGTAATGCTGCCGTCAGCCTCCTGGTGGTGGCCGGTTCTGGTAAGAAAAAGACGGCGGAGTTTTCCAGCTCCACGCTTTGTACAGCAAAGCGTGGCCTAGTCCACCCGGACTACAATACCCAGCAAGCACAGCGGCAAGCTTTCCCCCTCACAGCGTCCTTTGGCGCGAGGCATCCTGGGATCTGTAGTTCATACAGCGGGCAGAGGTTTGCATGGATCTGAGGTTCATTTGGTTTCGGGGAACCACCGTGTGGAGCCTCGAATCAATTTATAAGTCGCCCAGCTAAAATGACTAGTTTTAGCTGAGGGGGATGCAAAGCCGGAAAGCATCTTACAGAACCGTTCTCGCTGCTGTTGAGAACAAATGCTGGCGCCACGTGCATTGCGGCTATATTATTATTATTATTATTATTATTATTTCATTAATTTATTCCGCATTTTCCCCAGACAGAGACTCAAGGCAGCTTACAACGGAAATAAACATTAAAAACAACAACCAAGCATTATAATATAATATAATATAATTTACTAAGAACATACAGATAATTACCGTGAAAACAGCAAGGCCCCAGCCCTTTAATTCAAAACACACTATCCCCAAAAATCTGTTGGGATAAAGAAGGTCTTCAGCTGCTGGAGGAAGGATAGAGGGAGCTAGTCTAGCTTCTCTAGGCAAGGAGTTCCAAAGTTGTCCTGGAGCAGGCACAAAGAAGGCCTTATACCACACGGCTACCAAGCATGCCTGTGAGAGTGGCGGGACTGAGAGAAAGGCCTCCCCAGAATATCTCAGAACTCGGGCAGGTTTGTAGGAGGGAATGCAATCTCAGTTAAGTAGGACCTAAGCCATATAGGACTTTGTAAGTCATAACCAGCACATTGAATAGTGCACAGAAACAGACCATTAGCCAGCTTAGCCGTTGTAACATGGGAGTTGTATGCGGCATTTGTAATGTGCAGCATTTGTGACAGCTGCATGTTTATGAATGCAGATGTCCCACCACCTTGAAGTCCTTTGCCCTGTAGCGTAAGCCTCGTGGCGGATGGCTGGCACCAAGCTGCATTTGATGCACGGGTGAACACTTGCAGGCGAAGCGCAGGCTCATCTCAGTCAATACGATAATAATATCTGCTCTGAAATAGGGATGTTTCTTTATGTCCCGTGGAGCTGTCATAATATGCTTTTAAAGTATGTGCTGTTCCTTATATAAAGAGTAGGTGCTACAGAGATGGTCCAAAGCACATAGTTGCCCATGACAGAAAATTAAAATGCTAATTAATTTACAAATCAAAATGTCACGTGAGATGACCACATCAGGAAGCAGCTTTTTATTTAAAAAAATCACTTTCAGGTTTGTTTGTGGGTTTTGAAAACAAAAAACAAGCAGTGTACATATTTTATGAAATAAATGAATGAATTGTGAGTGTGCAGCAGCAAGGTGTGAGAGGATAGCTTTTGGGAAGGGCCACAGCTTGATGGTAGAGCATCTGCTTTACATGAAGAAGGTCCTAGATCAGGGGTCAGCAAACTTTTTCAGCAGTCCACTGTTCCTCAGACCTTGTGGGGGGCCGGACTATATTTTGAAAAAAATAAATGAGCAAATTCATATGCCCCACAAATAACCCAGAGATGCATTTTAAATAAAAGCACACATTCTACTCATGTAAAAACACTAGGCAGGCCCCACAAATAACCCAGAGATGTATTTTAAATAAAAGGACACATTCTACTCATGTAAAAACATGCTGATTCCTGGACCATCCGCAGTCCGGATTTAGAAGGCAATTGGGCTGGATCCGGCCCCTGGGCCTTAGTTTGCCTACCCATGTCCTAGGTTCTATCCCTGGAATCTCCAGGTAGGGCTGGTAGAGACCCAGTCTAAAATCCTGGAGTCTGGCTGCCAGTAAGTGTATGAGGCAGCTTCTTATTTGTGTATACCATAGAGTTTGCCCTGTGCTCCCCAAATTAGCCTGGTGTGGAGGATACTGTGGAACAGCCAACTGAATGGCTTCTGTGGGGGTGGGGAGGTGTCACCTTGTCCATCGTCTCAGGCAGCAAAATCTCATGGGCCAAGCCTACACCAAGGTGGGTGAACTCATGGCATGGCTTACTCTGTGCCAGAGGATGAAGGGGCCGTGTGACTACAGAGTCTTGAGTTTAAAGGATGTAAATTGGGTAGCCAGACCCATGCACAGCGGTTCATCTAATTGCTATATAGGTGAATATTTTTCCACTTGCGTCTCCTGCTGTCGTAGGGCTTTGATGAGAAAGCTGCACCTTGCTGAAGTTCTCCCTTCAAGATAACTATGAATAGCATGAGAATCCTGCTTCATTTATCTATTCATGGAATATTTATTTATTTATTGCTTTTACACCCACCTTTTTCTCATAAAGAGCTCAAGACAGCATACAAGGGTTCTCCTCAGTTAATCCCCACAACAACCCTGTGAGGTAGGTTAGGCTGAGAGGCATTGACTGGCCCTAGGTCACCCAGGCTGAGTGAGGATTTGAACCCTGGTCTCCCAGGTCCTAGTCTGACACCTAACCACCACCACCCAGCGCTGGCTCTGTGGAGGGAGTCAGCGTAGCAGCAGGGTAAGCTATTGGTTAGTCTCAATAGTGTCGCACAGTATGACTATACTATTAAATGCAGCAGCCTCTGGGTAAAGGGTATTTCTCAATGTTCTACACGCAGAAGGTCCCACATTTAATCCTCAGTGTCCTCCAGACACAACCGGGAGAGACCTTTCTGAAACCCTCCAAGAGCAGCTGTCAATCAGCATAGAGAATACTGAGTGGGATCGATCATAAGAGCATAAGGAAAGCCCTGCTGGATCACACGAAAGGCTCATTTAGTACCGAATCCTGTACTCACAGTGGCCATAACCACATGGCTATGAAAGCCCAGATGTTGGACATGAGTGCAAGAGGGCTCTCCCCACTCTGAACTAATGTTCAGAGGCAAAACACCTCTGATACTGGAAAAAGTACACAGCCATCATAACTAGTAGGCATGGACAGCCTCTTCCTTCATTAATTTGTCCAACCCCCTTTAAAGGCGTCCAAGTTTCTCTGACTTGGTATGAAGGAGCTTCTTAGGTTCCTGTCAGGGAGCTGACATCGGAGCCAGAGGCGGAGGCTAGGCTCCCAAGTGATGCTGGAGAAGGGCCCAGCAGGGAGAGAGGCAGCTCATCAGCTGGGGAAGGAAATCAGCGTAACACCAGGGATAAAGGGGGGCAGATGGGGGAATCAGCGAGGGGGCTCCAGGACTCCTCGCCGGAGACCAGCGGGGAGAGCATGGGTCCTCCGCTACCCACACCCTCCCTGCGCAGAAGACTTCCGCGCAGGGAGAGTAGGAGGAGACTTGGCTGGAGCTTTTATGCTGGAAAAGGTTTAAGAGACGCCCACTGACGGATTCTGCTGGCGACTGAGACAGCCATGAAGTGAAGCGCTGTCCGGACAGGAAAGGTTTAACCAGGCAACCTAGCCACGAGTGGCGGCAACTTACGCACGAGCAACCCCTATTCTTATTACAGTTCCTAATATATTCCCAATAATTGGTTCCCTTCTAAAACAAACAGCAGCATCACATTAGTAGAATGCTTCTTGCAAATATAGACAAAGAATGTAAATTTGCCACAGGAAACCCAGTCAGTTGGGTGGGGTACAAATAATAAATATTAGTATAATAATAATAATACTAATAATAAATATTAGTAGTAGGAAAACGAAGTTTGCAAACCTCGAAACAATTTTCTAGTATGTTGTATACCGTATTTTTTGCCCCATAGGATGCACCGGCCCTTAGGACGCACCTAGTTTTTTTTGGGGGGGGGGATAAAGAAAAAAAAAATATTTTCCCCCCAGGTGCGGGGCTGGGGTGGGGGAAGCCCGAGCTTCCCCAGCCCCCAGAACTGGCTGCTATCCGCAAGCTGTGGGAGAGCTGCACGAAGTCGTGCAGCTCTCCCACGGCTAGCGTAGAGCTGCGCAAAGCCCGAAGCCTGGGGCATGCTGAGCTCGGCGCGCCCCAAGCCTCTGGGTGCCGGCAAGCTCTCCGCTAGCCGTGGGAGAGCTGTGTGACTTCGCGCAGCTCTCCCACGGCTAGCGGAGGGCTGCGCGAAGCCCAAAGCTTGGGGTGTGCGACTTCACGCAGCTCTCCCACGGCTAGTGGATAGCTTCCTGAAGCCTGGAGAGCGAGAGGGGTCGGTGCGCACCGACCCCCCGCACTCTCCCGGCTTCAGCGAAAGCCTGCAATCGCCCCATAGGACGCACACACATTTCCCCTTCATTTTTGGAGGGGAAAAAGTGCGTCCTATAGGGCGAAAAATACGGTATATGATTTTTCTTTTAGGGAGGCCCAAGCCCACTGGCTATGTAAGCGTAACTTTTAACAAAACAGAAATGAACTAGAGTTGGAGTACATACATATGGAAAACATTTGGCAGTTCAGACATTAGTTGACTGAGAGGGGGAAATGTGAAATGTCTGAAATGAAAAGCATTGTGCTTTGATATGACATGAAAGTTATCTCTATGGGGTTTGATCTATACCGGCTCAGTCATCAACACACATCAGTCTCCAGTTGATGCTGCAGTCATCAGAGTCTTGCAGTTCGCTGATCTCTCACAAGCCACCTTCGCTTTTGTGTTTTTCAGGTGGGCACACTACAGAAATCTTGAGGTTACTTAGTAGCCTGTCCCAGACATACTCTCCTAGACATTATGTTTTGGCTGATTCAGACAAAATGAGTGAAGAAAAAATCCGTTCTTTTGAACAACAAAGAGCTGAAACCGCCTCCAATTCCTTGGTAAGTTGTGGCATCTTTATTGATAACTGTTTGTTTATATTTCACGTGCCAAAATGGTGACTTAAATCGCTTATCAGCATGATTTTCATTGGGCTCCATATCTGTAGCTCCGAGCACTTTGCTTCTCAATTTATCCTGCTGAATTGCCTCTTTATGCTTTTATCTTTATTGAATCTTACCTTTTACTCACAAACCCAAAAGTTAGCCAAGGGTGAATGTGGCTTTCACTCAGGCCAAAAAAGATTAGCCACCCCTGCTTTTAAGATAAGCCCTCGCTGAAACCAGCAAGGCATTTCCAAATAAGCATGTATAGAATTGGGGATTATAATCAATTACTGTTTGTTCTCATTAATAATAATAATTCTGTACACAAGGGAGAAATGTGCACACAGTCAGAGGTTTCTTTTTAAAATGTCTGCTTGAAAAGACAAGTTGCTTTTCATTTTTCAGTTTGTACGTTTCCCAGAAAAAAGGGCTTGCCTATCTTCAGGATGTGGCAGAAAGTTTAAAGTTTCCATTGACAGTTTAGGAGCTGCCTGAAAATGCATGAGGGATCATTGGTCATCAATGGACTGCAGGTTTAAGAACCAGTGGTAAAAGTGATCTAAACGTATGAGCTCTGTTTCCCTGTACCTGAGAAGGATTTCATATCAATAAGGGTCTTCTGTCCATTGAGTAGAGTGAAAAATGTGGCACATCTGCCAATGCCATTTGCACAAGCACATCTGCCTGCAGTTCCACTACAATGCAGCTGCAGCACCAGACAAGGCCATGCTTTGTGCTGGCATAGCTGCTGGTAGCTGCATCCTAAACCCTTGGTGTGCTTGCCTAACAAGCCCTAGTAGGCTCGGGATGTTTGTTGTTGTTTAGTCGTTTAGTCGTGTCCGACTCTTCGTGACCCATGGACCAGAGCACGCCAGTCACTACTGTCTTCCACTGCCTCCTGCAGTTTGGTCAAACTCATGCTGGTAGCTTCGAGAACACTGTCCAACCATCTCGTCCTCTGTCGTCCCCGTCTCCTTGTGCCCTCCATCTTTCCCAACATCAGGGTCTTTTCCAGGGAATCTTCTCTTCTCATGAGGTGGCCAAAGTATTGGAGCCTCAGCTTCAGGATCTGTCCTTCCAGTGAGCACTCAGGGCTGATTTCTTTAAGAATGGAGAGGTTTGATCTTCTTGCAGTCCATGGGACTCTCAAGAGTCTCCTCCAGCACCATAATTCAAAAGCATCAATTCTTCGGCGATCAGCCTTCTTTATGGTCCAGCTCTCACTTCCATACATCACTACTGGGAAAACCATAGCTTTAACTATATGGACCTTTGTTGGCAAGGCGATGTCTCTGCTTTTTAAGATGCTCGGGATGTTACATGCCCTTTCCTAGCTCTGTATGTGACTTCAGCACATGTATGAAACATGGTCAAGCTTTTCCTCACTACAGCTTAGCCAGCAACTCTGTTATAATCAGTTCAGCATGGGAAATAGCCAATTCCCAGCACATCTTGCACAATGAAGACAAACTGCGGGCGGGGGAGGGGCAGGGAAAACAACACAAAGAAATATTTCTCTTTAATCTCTTGCTACATGCAATTATTAACAAAAGTACCAGAAAGAAAGGTGGCATCTGATAGGATCTTTTATAAATGCATGTCAACATACATCTGTTTCCTTTTAAGTATCTTAACAAGTTCTGTGTAACCCAAACTCAGGAAAACGAAAACTTTGTTTCAGTTGGACCTGCTTCTGAAGCTTTTAAATTTTGTTATTGTTAACATGCTTCTATGCCGTGTTTTGTTTTGTTTTGGGTTGAGGTTTCAGGGTTGGGCTTATCTCCACTAAAGTGTCTTTTACTTTGTAACATTTATTACAATATGAGATTGCTTTTTTTGCAGGGGGGGTGTTGTCGTCTGATCTAGTACCTATCAAGTTCTAAGGCTTACGACTCCGCTGAGAACTCAAGTCGTTGAACCACATCACTGTTCTGTCTCAGATCTCTGAGGCGGAATTTTTGTTCCTACTCGGAGGGCATACCTTTCTTTCTTTCTTTCTTTCTTTCTTTCTTTCTTTCTTTCTTTCTTTTTCATTTGAGTGCTTGTACTCTCCTCCGTGAAACTGGAAGAAGGAATTTAGCCCCCATCCCTGTAGAACAAGCAATATTATCAGGGGAAAAGATGAAATGGAATAAAAAGTAGATTTCAAAATGTTGTTCATCTGAATTTATATAAGGTCTGCCACTTGATTAAAGAAATCATAATAGTTATACATATCTGCCCTGGTAGCTCAGTTGGTAGAGCAGAAGACTCTCGATCTCAGGGCCATGGGATTAAGTTCCACATTGGGCAAAAGATTCTTGCATTGCAGGGGGTTGGGCTAGATGACCCTTGTGGTCCCTTCTGTGAGGTTTATGGTGCACTTCTGTGCACATCTACACTGAAGTTAAGTCCCATTGAGTTCAGTGGGTTTTGTTCCCAAGGAAGCAAGTACAGGACTGCACCACCAACCACTTAAGGATGCAATCCTATTACACTCATGTGGGAGTAAGTCTCATTGAACTCAATAGGGCTTTCATCTGAGTAGACATATATAGGCTTGCCCTGTAAGACTGCAACCCTACACACGTGTGGTGTAGTGGTTAAGAGCAGTGGACTCGTAATCTGGTGAACCGGATTCGCCTCTCTGCTCCTCCACATGCAGCTGCTGGGTGACCTTGGGCTAGTCACACTTCTCTGAAGTCTCTTAGCCTCACTCACCTCACAGAGTGTTTGTTGTGGGGGAGGAAGGGAAAGGAGGTTTTTAGCCGCTTTGAAATTCCTTAGGGTAGTGATAATGTAGGATATCAAATCCAAACTCCTCTTCTTCTTCTTCTTCTTCTTCTTCATCTTCGTCTTCATCATCATCTTATTATTATTATTAAGAATGAACTCCACGGAATACAGTGGGACTTCCTCAGTTTAGTGTATTCAGTTTGATTTACACATTGCTTCACACAACCAAAAAGAAGTTCCAAAGCGATTTGCAAAAACAAGAACATACAAAATAGAAGCGTCCATAACCACTTAGCCTAACATGAGAATGAGCACCATAAAACAAACATACAAACAAACAAACAAACAAACAGCCAGACCATTAGTTCTGTCCATAGCCTGGGAGAATAGAAACATTCAGCCTGGTGCTGAAAAGCTGACAAAGTCTACTTAGAGGTTTTTAAGATTAAGCTGCATGAAAATTCAGTTCAAATAAAGTTATTTATTTAAGTCGGCACCAGGAGAGGTTCTCTGAGGAATCCAAGAATACAGGAAGGCATTGGAGCATAGGCAAGCCTTGTTGCTTGAACAAGGCTTAAGTGGAACAAGATGCCTACCTATACCCTTTCCAGGGGAATCCTGTAGTCAGCAGGAGTGGCAGGATCCCCAAGGCATGGATGAGGAATGGCAGGATCCCCAAGGCTGAGAAGCTGCCTCCTGGAGAGGTTCACAACGAGGGGGAGCTACACACAAATCCAGCCATTGCTGACACAAAGCTATAGAGCTGGTAATTTGTTGAGGGCAGGGAGTGGATCCTTGCATGTGGTCTGCTGCTTCTCTTAAGGAACTGTTGTGTGCAACAGATTAAAAAATTATATTTAAAAAAATGTAAAAATGAGCTAAAATAAACCCACTGGGGTAAATCGCACCACCACATCTCACCCACATAAAACAGGTTGGGATGGCCTCCTTATGGCTGTGGGCTTCACAGCATTTTTCTCACCAACGTCACTAAAAATTCCTGCTCGTGTTTTCTGTTTGGACAAGACATTCCAAAGATGAAGGATTCAACATTCTTAGCACATGCAAGATGAAAACAACAAAACAGCTTCGGGTGCGAATGAGCACTAGCAGCCAAGGCATCTTCCATTTTTTGATGACTTAAAAAAAAAAAGGCAGTTTCTTTGAAGATGGAACCTACCTGTGAGGTAGCTTAGGCCACGAGGCAGTGACCGGCCCAAGGTCACCCTGAGAGCTTCATGGCCAAGTGGGGATTGAACCCTGGCCTCCCAGGTCCTAGTCCAGCACCCTAACCAGTGTGCCACACTACCTTCTGCCAGATCAACTGGTGTGACAGCTGCAGCCATTCCTGGATCAAAATACCTTAGCTATAGTAGTCTAGGCATTAGTAACCCCCTGATTGGATTACGGCAGTGCGCTCTATGTAGGACTCCCCTTAAGGTTGGTCCGGGAAGCTACAGGTAGTGCAGAATGCTACAGCCTGGCTGTTGGAGGAGGCGCCCTATCAACAGCACATAAATCCTGTGCTGAAATAGTTGCCCTGGGTGCCAGTATGCTACAAGACTTAATTCTAAAGTTTTGCTATTCGCATGTCAAGCCCTGAATGACTTGGGACCTTTGGGAACGCCTGCTTGTTACAGTCCTGCTTGGTCACTTTGAAGCTCAAGAGAGATACCCCTAAGTAGTGCCATATGCTTCCAGGGTTGGTCTTACGTCCGCTAAGACCACAGCCTTTAGTGTGGCAGGACCTGCCCTTTGCAGGCTTCCTCTGGTGAACATCAGGCCAGCACCTACAGTATTGGCATTTAAGAGGCAGCTGAAATCCCACCTGTTTGTCCAGGCCTTCCTTGACGGGGTCACACAGCTACATTCCTGTATTAATTTAATCTATCCATTTGCGATGTATTTTTTATGGATGCAGTTTTGTTATTACTTTTTTCTGTGCCCTATGTTTTTCTTCATTTGGTATAGAAATTTTTAAGCCTGGACAAACTGGTTAATCTTAGCTGTGGTTAGCTGAAGCAAGCCAGCTCAGACCATAGTTTAGGCTGGCTTTTTTCAACCAACCGTAGAAAAGAGTAACTATAGGTTAGAGTTTGATAGACACACTAAGCGAAAGCAAAAGCTTCTAAAGTCTTCCTTATTGGGTGTAAGGAGGAGTGTGCAAGCATGAGGGTTCCTGAGGCTCATTTCTGCAACACTAAATTATGGTTAGCATTACGTCTGAGCTGCAACTTCCGTTGCTGTTTCACCTTAGTAATCATTGTGAAGTCAAGCATAGCTTGGGGATTAGTTTTGTACTAACTTTGCCAAAAAGGTGTATGAAGCAGTGTCCTAACTTATGACACAAAGTGATGTGGAAATTGGGAGGATGCTTTGCAAGGTAAGATTAGAGCAGAACACTTTTAATAAGAAGCTCAGAAGATTTCAGTTCAACAGCATCTGTTGCTAGCAATTCATCTTACTGTCCACTAGGTGGAGCAATAAGCCAATTGTTGTTGTGCTGCCTAAGCTGCACATTTTGAGCACTGTTTGAAAAGTAAGGAGAGAGACATTTGCTTGCATTTTCCAAGTGATTTTATGCATCTGTGCTGCCATGTCCGGGTCTTGCACTCATATTCATCATGTGTTTAAAAGCATGTGCCGGATGCTGCTTGCAGGGGAGGGGTGAAAATCCTGTGAAAGGTCAGGGCATCTTTTGCAAATGGAGAACTCGCTCCTTTGGAACAGGGAAATAGGTTGCAATCTAGAGGCCACAGCCACAAGCCCAACCCAAGAGCCCCATCTCTGGTATCTGTTCCTTTTTTTGTGAATGGGAGGTGTGCAGCAAGCAAAGATAGCAGCCGCCTTATGGAACTATGTGCAAACGGTCACGAGTCATCTGGTGTAAATCTGTCCATTTATTCCCTTGTTTTCCAAGTTCACCCTCCACCGCATTCCCAGAAGCCGGGAGGTCCGTCAGTTGTGGAGCTCCTCTGTGGTGACGACTCTGCGTTCCATGTTTTACTCTCTCCCTTTGACCTTCAGACTCAAGCCGGATTTGGTATGTAAAACAACTGTTGCAGGCAAATAATGAAGAAATGCCTTGTCTGTTCCAAAAGGAAATAACTATTCAGAGATAACAAACCTCTAAATATGCATACAAATTTAGGACTGGTTCCTGCAGGGTTTACTTCCCTCGATTGAGTCCTCCAACCTTTAAGCAGCTCTCTTGTGCAATGCAGCATTTTCAGGCTAGTTTGAATGTGGCAGTGGGTACTCATAAAACAGGGTGTTATCAGTCTGTCTAGCTGATTTATATCAAAGGTGGCAGAAGTTAGATCAGGATCTAGTGGAAGACACTGCAGTGATTTGCGGCCAGATAACAAGGATTTCCGGTTCCAAATTGTTTTAACAATAGCAACAACAAAGTGACTTTTTATTAGGCTGCTGCAATAAGAAGGCTAACCAGGAGTGAAGTTTTTGAAAGGACTGTGAACTCACCTCAGTTTTTCTACTAAAAACAAATTCCTTCGGCCCATGTGCTCAGAGGTACCCCGTTCTTTCATTCTAAATAGGTGTCTTTTGTGCCTTGCTTGGTAGGATCACGGGGTTCTAGTGAACAACAAAGTAGACTCAACATTCCTGTTTATACAGTATGAAAACTGTTATTGTCTTCTATTCATCTGTAATAAAGAGAAAGAAGTGTTTCTGGTGGTACCTTGAGACTAAAAGTGAAATCCAACAATGCCCACCTGCCAGCAGAGCAGGCACCCTATTTATAATGGATTATCTCTCTTCAAGGTACCCAACAAATCTGCTCTGGGCAGCTGGGGGACCAGGCAGCACAGATTTGGAGGGCCACAGGACCTGTAGGGGAAAGAAGATGAAGGGAAACTCCTCTCACACAAGCAGAAGTCTGCTTCCTTGGTGTTGGGATTGTTGCCCTAAATCTTTAGAAGTTTTTTTTTGGGGGGGGCACATGGCAAAGCTTCCTTATAGGTAAAAGGACCCCTGACCATTAGGTCCAGTCGTGACCGACTCTGGGGTTGCGGCGCTCATCTCGCTTTATTGGCCGAGGGAGCTGGCGTACGTCTTCCGGGTCATGTGGCCAGCATGACTAAGCCGCTTCTGGCGAACCAGAGCAGCGCACGGAAACGCCATTTACCTTCCCGCCAGAGCGGTACCTATTTATCTACTTGCACTTTGATGTGCTTTCGAACTGCTAGGTTGGCAGGAGCAGGGACCGAGCAACGGGAGCTCACCCCGCGTTGGGGATTCGAACCGCCGACCTTCTGATCGGCAAGTCCTAGGCTCTGTGGTTTAACCCACAGCGTCACACGTGTCCCACGCTTCCTTATAGACAGTGCTAAATTGGACCTCAGATGAGGTTCGATAGTCTGCTAGGAGAAGCTTGTGCCATGTTGTAATAACAAGGTTCTAAAAAGTTAGTTTCAAGGTAACTTTTCTTTCTATCTGGCGCCACCCCCACCCCCAGAAGAGCAATGCGGGAACAGAGTGGGGCTTGTTGACTGTCCATTGCAAAGTCATAGGGGGTGGAACACTCTCCTGACTTCAAAGTGATTCTCCCGTAAAACTAGTTGCTAACCAGAGTATGAAAGAAAACAAAGGAGAGACCTTAGTGAGCCCATCCCTGTTCCCCATTTCTTCCCCATACATTGATTTTTTGCTTTTCATTAAAGAGGAAGCAAAATGCCTTAATTCAAATGAAACAGACCGTCTTTATGTGACGAGTACATTAGGACATTGCCTTGTTACAGCGATGGCTCCGTTTAATTAGCATCAATTGTATTGAGTTTCCATCATAAGGGAAATTGTCTGGAAAATCAAACAGACCATTACATTGCTGGAGGAGATGATGTGGAAAAAGTCAAAGGAGAAAGGGTATCGGCGGGTAACTTAGCGATAGTTTAACTTCTGTATAGCTTTTTTGCTTGAAATAGCAGTGCCAAAAAATACAGAGCTGGTGCCAGAGGGCCTCATGGACTTTGCACTGAAATCTCCTCTGAGGGTGGGTGTGGGTGTGTTTTAAAAAAAGGGACTCTCGTTGCAGGAGAATGGAGTTTTGCCAGTGCATAGTGAAACTGAATACACTCTGTGCTCAGCCACAGCAGCATCACTCAGGTGCTTTGATTTAGAGCGACTTGTAGACTGGCTTGTGAAGTGGTGTGCATTGTGGCTTAGGGTGTGGCCACAAGTCCCCAGTTCAAATCTCTCCTCATCTGTGATTTTCTATAGGTGGCTGTAAGCAATCGGCTCTTTCTCTCCTCCCACTCCTGTCTTAATGCCTGTGGTATAGGGCTTGCAAGACTGTTTTGGTTAGGATTGCTGAAATAATGTATACGAGATGCTTTTGAGCGCTCATCTGAACACATGCAGCTGCCTTACGCAGAGTCAAATCATCTCGTTTAGTGGTGGGGAACCTGCAGTTGTAGCTGCTGAACTACAAACCCCATTATCCCTGACCATTGGTCCTACTGAGTGATGGGAACTGGTGTTCAACAACACTCCGAGGGTCACGGGTTCACTACCACTACCACCACTGTAGTTCAGCTAGAAGGGGTACCAATAGAAAAGCACCAAAGGATGCATCGTCCACCCAAAACAAATACATATTCAAAGTGCTTCTGAAGGTCTGGAGTATGGTAGCTTTCCAGAGGTCAGCTGGCAACAAATTTCAGAGTCGTGGGGCTACCACAGAGAAGGCCCTGTGTCGTATTTCACTGACTGCAGTGGTAGGCAAACCAAGAGGACCTCCATTCTTAATCATTACGTGTGGGCAGGTGGATACAGGTGTAAGTTGTCCTTCAGATAACTCTGACTCTGATCACCCAAGGCTTTGAAGGTGAAAACCAGCTAATGTAAATAGCTGGAGAAAAATTAATCCATTCTTCAGGGAGGCGGTGCCAACGGCTTTCTGTCGTAAAACCGACGTTAGAGATGTTAACTGCCGCCTCTTTTAAAGTGTCTTGGGAAAGAGGATCTGATAACAATTGAAAGGGAGAGCTGTGTATTGTTTGATAAGGTTCTCCCTGAACACTTTGAGGTATTGCATCTTTTTTTAAGAGCAACAGCGCACAATCCCTTTATCGTACAGCGTGGCTTAATATATTATTACACGGACATTTATCAGGCAGAGTATCTAGCTTTGAGCTTGAAAGCCGCCTCAACAACAACAACATATATTTAACTCTGCTTGGGTGAGACTGCGTTTACTGAGCCGCAGAGCACCACATCCTTGGCAGACTACCAGGTCCCAAAGGTTAAAAAAGTCTTCAGAGGGGGTGGAACAAAAAGTTGGCGTTCCGAGTTGACAGCATCTGTCAAAGGCATCTGCCACAGAGCTCAACTTCAAAAGTGTTAAAAATAGGAAACACCAAGAAAAGCACCAAATGAGGCCCAAATGACACGGTTGCCGTGCTGGAATCTGTGGACACACTAGGCGTTAATCAGCGTAGGCTGTCGTTGTTGCTGTCGTTCTTCTGTTTCTACTGTACTTCTAATGGGGAAGCAGTGGGATTTCGGAATGCTTTCAAAAAGTCACTTGCGCCTAGCAAGACCTGATTGTGCAGATTCTTGTGCCCTCCCAAACTCCTCTCAACGGCAAGAAGAAATCCGAGGAGCTCAAGGAATGCGAGATTAAGCAAATACAGCAAGCGCTGCCCTCAACATTACTTTGTGGGAATAAGTGGCAGTCAAGCCGCCTTGCCCGCAAGTAGGGCTTTGATGGTAACAAGCAGCGAGAGCAATTGGCTATGGCACAAGGTTGTAGGCACAGCACAGCACCGCAGGCTCTGGAAGACAGCATTCCGAGTAGATCACACGCAGAGGTTTGTTTATTACATTTAAAGCTTGTTTTTTCCTCCAAGGAGGTCAAAGTAGCATACATGCCTCTTGCATTTTTTTCCCTTCACAACAACCCTGTGAGGTAGGTTAGGTACAGAGATAGTAACCGGCCCAAGGTTATCCAGTGAGCTTCAGGGTTGAGTGGGGATCAGTCTGACATCCTCGCCACTCTACCATTCTGTTGTTTGCCTGTGCATAGCAGTTTGTTGTTGGGCCGGCAAAGCAACTGGCCAAATAAGTCTACCCAAGTTGCTAGTCCACAGGAAGATTTTTACCAACCTGCGCTCTTCCAGTATAACCACATTTAGCCATGAGGGTGTAAAAGAGAGAGGTCGTGCTACCTCAGTGCTTCATTCATTTCCTTTTTAATGGGCCCCTCCAATCACTGCTTTTGTGTATTCTCCCAGTGACAAACTTCCAATCCCTTTTCAGAGCAAGGTATTTTCCTCAGGTGTTATCCTCCCCTCTCTTTTAAAGGGTTTTCGTCACATTTTCTAACCTAGGCGTCGGGTGGCGTATTGGGAAAGTGAATTTATCCCCACTCAGCACACAATCAATACAACATTCGGGGTGGACAAGGAGGGGGTGGAGTTGGGCCAGAGAGAAGGGGCGGGGCCTGGGGAGGAGGTGTGGCTTAGGCCGAGTCCCAAGGGGTCAGGTAGAAATGTCTGGAGCATCATATTGTGCTCCTGGGTCTAAAGTCTTTCATCTCCATCCCTCCCCCCTAGAAAGGTTATGTGCTTAAAAGTTTTGTTCTGCAGCAATCCCATGTTAACCTCTCGTGTTTATGTTAAATTTATAAGCAAAGCGTCCTGTTATTCCCTTCCCTTCTCTCCAGTACTTCCCAACTCCATGCCTCACACAAGGAGGAGGTGGACATAAACGTCTGGGAAAACTGCACAACGGTGATATTTATATCCGGCATTTAGCACCATTTGAGTTTCATATATATTGACTAAATTACCTGGATGGGAGCCCTGAAACCTACCTAGGGTTGTAATCCCTAAATTGCAGTAGGGAGATGTAAAGGGAGTGTTAATGCCTCAGGTAAGATACCTTGCTTAAGGCTGCTTGGCATAGTTGAGATCTGAAGAAGGAGGGACACTCTTCCTATGCTTAAATGTTTATAAATTCAAAGAAAAAAAGCAATATTCCAGGGCTTTTTTTATTTTTAGCCAGAACTCACCGGAACTCACTTCCAGCACCTCTAAGGTGGGTGCCATTGCCATTATAAGAGAACAAGGGAGGCGTTCATAGTGAGTTCCGGCACCTCTTTTTCTATAAAAAATAGCACTGCAAGAATCTATCCATTTAGATAAAGCCTTCTCTATGACAGGTTGTTTTTCTATATGCACAGAGTGCTTTCTCCACGAAAACAGCATTCTTGTACATGCACAAACCCTGCATCCTATTGCCTGAAGTGACAAAGCCCGGGAAAAAGCTTTGCCTCTTGATTCTACCAACTGACCTAAGGCACTCCAATGTTTTCCTTCCTGCTCTGTGTGAGAGAGTGACGAGGCAAAGATTCCATCTGGCTTCCTTAACCTTAATGGGTTTCATGCTTCTTTACAGCTGGATAGGCTGGAGGCAGCTGTCTCGCTTAAGGCTGACTACAACACCATTTGGTTACCGTATTTCCAAAGGTACCAAGCTAGGCACCCTAAGGTGGGATTGGGTAGGGAGTACCCTCAGTCCATACATATAGCATTATGGAAATGAGCAAGCAGTGTAAGGTGCCGGATTCACAGTCTTGCTAAGTTCCACCATAGCAAACAGATACTATTGTTATAGAAACGCTTACACAGTGATGAAAGGCGATCTTTATTTCACTTAGCTAAGACTTTCCATTCTCTCCACAGCTCTCAAAATGTCTTAAGTTCATTGCGCTTCTGTAGCATTCTAGAATGGATAATAAGGTATTGTTCCTTTGTAGCATGATTTGCATTAGGGCTTTCCCCCCACTTTTTATTAGAGGAGACAGTACAAACCTAGATTACTTTCCAATATATTATTGGTTTCTTCTATCCTGATCTCTGGAGTTTACAGAGCACATAGAAAAATGGGTTGTTCTTGTTGTTGTTATTATTATTATTATTAAAAAGTAGATTTCTTCTGTTAGAGAGAATTTGCTAAGTTGCCTTGTGGGGGTTTTCCATCCATAACTTGTCTGACAAAATACTGCTCTGTGTGTGTGCGTGCGGGTGTGTATTGTCTCATGTGCTTTTTTAAAATTGGAGAACAAACATAAACATAAAGTAGTGCTAGGTGAATGTTGCAAAAGGATTTCTGCTTGCACAACGGAATGTTCTTTCCCTGCTGTTCCCTCCATGCACCTCCTAAATTTGTAGGGTTTTCCTCAACCCTCTGGAACAGATGTGGGGTGTGCAGGGGAGGGGGGAAAGGATACCATAAATCCATGTGCTAACACAACAAGGGCATTGGATACCACCCTTGATGTGTAAAGTCCTACTGTGGGCAGGTCAGTATTTTTCATAGAGTTGGCCACTGTGGGAACAGAATGCTGGGCTAGATGTCTTGCTCCTCTTGTGTTCTCAACCTCTGTTCCTTGAAGACCTACCTAAAGATGGGTATAGCTGGATACGGTGTCCTCAGCAGGCAAGAAGGCCAACTTGGAGCTCGTATCCATGACCCTGAAATTAAGAGCCTCGTCCTGTACTGACTGAGCTATCCCAGACAGGCCTGCCAGAAAGACAATAACGACGACACTTTGTCCGATTTGTAAAGATAGGTGCTGCCACACTGAAGACCTGATTCTGACATTGGATGGATTAGACCTCCTGAGAAGACCATACCTGCCATTCTCAAGGGCAGCCCCACATAGAGCACAATGCAGCAATCCAATCTGGAAGTTACAGCGCATGGGCAACAGCAGTCAGGCTGTCTCGGTTAAGAAACAGCTGCTGCTCTCATATCAGCCAAAGCCGGAGCACCCCCCAGACTATGAACCAGCTTTTTCAGGGAGAGTGCAACCCCGTCCAACACAGGCAACTGATCAATTATCCAGACTTGGGAACCACTCACCCAGAGTGCCTCCGGCTTACCAGGATTCAGAGTCAGTTTGTTGGTCCTCATCCAGCCCACCAGCAAGTTCAGGCACTGCTCCAGGGCTTGCATAGCCTCTCCAATTCGGATATTACAGAGAAATAGAGTTGGTCATCCATCAGTTTGCCCCAGATCTCTTAATGACTAGGAGCTCTCCTTGGTCCTGCAACAACTGACCTTCCCTTGCCACGTCACCCCAGAGCTCCTTTGCAAGGCCAGAGCAGAACACCCAGTGTGAAAAGTTTGGTCTCTTGCCCTTCACATATAATTTCAAGGGGAAGAAATGCCTTCAAGTCGACTAGAAATATATTTGTGCCAATAATAAGAATTGCAAATTGCTAACATGAGACATTCCTATAAGCTGCAGTGGATGCATCTGTGTAATGTTCATTTTGTTAATATTGAGCATGACAGAACTTAAGCTGAGCGCACTTTTAATCCCATTGGTTTCCGTATGAGAGAGTTAAGAACGTGTTCAATTCGCCTGCTGAAATCAATTAAACTTAAACATATCTAAAGTTGGCAGGATCATAACAATTGTTCTGAAAAACAACCAAAAAGCAACAGTTTGAATTCTTTATACAGCCCATATTAATTTCAGTCAATATCAGGGCTGGCTAAGATGTGACCCTCCAGATGTTTCTGAACTATAGTCCTCATCCTCCCTGACCACTGGCCATAGTTGGAGTTGGTAGAAAGTACCATTCAATAACATCTGGAAGGCCACAGGTTAGCAACCCATGGCCTAGATATACAATCCAGTGCTGCAAAGCAACCAGGTCAGAAACTTAATTGGAAAATATAATGGCCAACTGGTCCCATCACCTCCTGGCAAATAGAAGGGGAAGAAATGGAGGCAGTGAGAGATTTCACTTTCTTGGGCTCCGTGATCACTGCAGATGGTGACAGCAGCCACAAAATTAAAAGACACCTGCTTATTGGGAGAAAAGCAATGACAAACCTAGACAGCATCTTAAAAAGCAGAGACATCACCTTGCCGACAAAGGTCCGTATAGTTAAAGCTATGGTTTTCCCAGTAGTGATGTATGGAAGTGAGAGCTGGACCATAAAGAAGGCTGGTCGCCGAAGAATTGATGCTTTTGATTTATGGTGCTGGAGGAGACTCTTGAGAGTCCCATGGACTGCAAGAAGATCAAACCTCTCCATTCTTAAGGAAATCAGCCCTGAGTGCTCACTGGAAGGACAGATCCTGAAGCTGAGGCTCCAATACTTTGGCCACCTCATGAGAAGAGAAGACTCCCTGGAAAAGACCCTGATGTTGGGAAAGATGGAGGGCACAAGGAGAAGGGGACGACAGAGGACGAGATGGCTGGACAGTGTTCTCGAAGCTACCAGCATGAGTTTGACCAAACTGCGGGAGGCAGTGGAAGACAGGAGTGCCTGGCGTGCTCTGGTCCATGGGGTCACGAAGAGTCGGACACAACTAAATGACTAAACAACAACAACAACGGCCAATGTAGGAAAATATAAACAGAATTCATCCATACCTACAAGGCAAAGCTCCTACATTAGAGGCAAAAAAAGGAAACCCCAATTCAGAGGCGGTCATGCTTAAATCCCATCCATTTCAAGGGAACTTAAAAGTTCAGCACAACTTTAGTTGTCCCGCTGATTTAAATGGGACTTGGACTAACTTGCTCTGGATTGGGACCACCATTCCCTATTATTTTTTGTGCAGCTTTAGTATTTTAGGAAGGAGGCCTGCAGCCAGGGTTGCTTTTGTTACTGTTAACGGGGAAGCTCTCCTGAAACCAGTTAACGCACCTCCAGCACTAAGGACATCAGAAATAAATGTGGCGTGCAGCAGTTCTGTGTATGGTTTCAGACCATTACCTTCTAACAGCGTTGAATATGCAGTTTCAACTGGTTCTATTCAGTGCCCTCCTGAGTACCGGAGGGGGAGAGGAGAGGAACCTGCGATACGATCTCCAGTATTTAGAAAGAACACAGTGTGGCTGATAATTACCTAAGCAATAATATCTGATAGCATGAGAGAGATCTGAGTGTTCTTTGTTTCATCAATAACGGAGGTTGCATTCCTTTGGATATCTGCTGTGGAAATATCCAAGCTGTCAGGCCTCCTTTTTGGCTACAGAAATTGGAGGTGGGGGCGGGGAGAGAGAGAGTTGAGTTTTAACTGCCTAAGCATGGCTTTAAGTGCACACATTAGTCACAGTCCTGCAATCTGCCTCCCCACCCGCAATGCACATGGAGGGCAGGATGCAGAGCAGCTGTAGATAATAGGATGGGGACCCTCTCAGCCAGCCCCTAACTCCCTGCCCTCTTAACTTGCATCCAGTCTAGGAGGTGGCCCTGTCTGTCAGTTTCCTCCACCTTAGTTGAAGGAGGAGCCTTTGCAGAATTCGGCAGGGAGGGAGATGGGGGGCTGACTCCTGCCTGTCATTGGTTCTGGCTCCACCTGCCATTCTCATCTCTGCCTTCCACCCTGTCAGTCCCAATGGACATCACCAAGCCAAAGTACATGTGGGACTCCATGATGTGATGCGCAGGGGGACCTTGGCTTCAAAAAGCTGCATTGCCACATGCATGACCAAGAAGGAACAGTCTGGCTACTCACTTGCAGTATTTCTATACCACCCAGTAGCAAAGGTTCTCTAGGTGGTTTAGAAGTAAATAATAATAATAATAATTAAAACCATAAGATACAAAAAAATTAACATGTAAACATGAAATCTAAAACAGAATTAAACCAGTCACAGAATAAAAAAAAACCAACAGAGAATGACGACAGTACAAAGCAATTGAAAAACACTGAAAGGTTGTTGTTTTTTTACGATGGAAAGGTCTGGGGAAATGAAATGTTCTTCACCTCGTGCTGAAAAAAAAGCACTGGAGGAGCAACCACAGACATGACCCTCCCTCTGCAGCTTATTTGCTAGGAGTTCTCAGAGGCAAAAATCCTCTGAGGAGACACTCTGGATCCCTCTTTCCATATGTGTAATGTGAATTCTGACCTCAGAGTTAAGTGACCCTTGCTGCATATTTGTCTGGATTGCAAATAGGCATTCGGATGCCCCCATTTTAAAGTTCTTAAACCCCATGAATTCCTGTATCTCTGTGGTTCCTCTCTACTACCCATGCCCTTGTCTATTGGTTCTCCTGACAATGGGGATGACATGAATGGATAAATGTAGCATTCCGAATGTGGTCTTGCTGGTGCCAGACCAATGTTCTTTGGCCTGTGTTCAATATCTGTATTTATGCAATGGGGAAGTCCAATTATTTGCAACCTACTTCTGCTAAAAAGTTCACAGTTGGAGCATTAACACTCCGGAAGAAAAATTAACACTGGTTTGTGTTAGCACTGCATATTGTAGCTTTAGCAATGGATGTGCCTGCCCTGCCCCTTCTTTTATGTGTGTAAGCATTCATGTAAAGTTCCTAGTGGCATAGGGTTAGGGCATCGGTTTTTTTGAGCAATAGTGAAAACAAGCAATACAATCCACTTAGGAAAGGCAACACACACACACACACACACACACACACACACCATAGCTGTCAACTTTCCCCTTTTTTAAGGGAAATTCCCTTATTCCGAATAGGATTCCTCGCAAGAAAAGGGGAAAGTTGACAGCTATGACACTGACACACACACACACACACACACACACACTATATTATTTGCCTCTTCTCCTGCCCTTTAAAACATTGTTCCAGAATTTGGTACCTAGATAAGCCTTCTTTGAAGACTGAAGGATTCCAGATTGCAATTTCAGATATGTGCTTGAGGAACCTGAAGACTGTTCCTGGGAAAGTGTGTCTTTAATTGAGCTCCTTCAGTCTTTCAATCATTGTGTTTTGATTTTTGGATCTGGCATCCTCCACTTATTTATTTTCCACACCATCTTTTTTTAAAAAACAAACAAACAAACTTTGTTTTGCAGGGCTATAACTCAGTGGTTCAGCTGATAAGGCCCTAGGTTCAATCAGTCACCAGTCAGAAAAGCCCATGTTGGGTTTGATGGACCAGTGGTCTTACTCACTATAAAGCAGCTGCTTGCGTTCATATATATGCTTGGAAAATATTTAATAGGGTCAGTTCTGGAGTTGCTTCTAATACATGTTTGGTTATATGCATTTTTCAGACAGAAGCTCCCCTTTCTGTTGGCGAATTATCATATTTTAGAATTAACTTTTTTACAGAGCTCTTTTCATGGCTTAGGACCCTCGTACCTACAGGGCTGCCTCTCCCGGTATGCCCCACGGAGGACCTTAAGGTCCATAAATAGCAACACCCTAGTGGTCCCGGGCCCTAAGGAAGTTAGATTAGCCTCAACCAGAGCCAGGGCCTTTTCAACACTGGCTCTGGCCTGGTGGAACACTCTGTCTCATGAGACCAGGGCCCTGCAGGATCGGATTTCTTTCCGCAGGGCCTGTAAGACAGAGTTGTTCCGCCTGGCCTTTGGCTTGGAGCCAATTTGATTTCCTCCCCCTCTTTTCTTTTTCCTTTCTCCTCCTGTGATGAGGCTGCATTTTAATGTTTCAATATTTTAATGCTGTATTTTAATCTTGTTTTTAAGTTGTATTCACTCGATTTGTTTTTATTATTGCTTGTTAGCCACCCTGAGCCTGGCCTTGGCTGGGGAGGGCGAGGTATAAATAAAAATTATTATTATTATTATTTTGTCCTTATCGTTAAGACATGCTGTTCTTTCCCAAAGGCAGGTCTCCTTGGCTTTTCTTGCATCTTAACATAAAGAAAATATAGGGTCTTGTGGCACAGCCTCCCACCATGCTGGTGCAAATATTTGGGGCAACCACCCTACTGAAACAGCACAGTCAAAGAGGGCCAGTACCAAACACTTGAATCAACTGTTGATCTGAACAGTCTACTTGCACATAATTTCTGTGATTCTGACAACTCTCACCCACCTGAGGAGGTTTCTAGCAAACAGGAGGTACCAGGCCTAAAATGGGAAACCACAAGCCTCAGGAAGTGCTTAAAACAGACCTGCAAATAGGCACTTACCTGTGCCAAGTATGAATTTCTCCTTAGGCAACCAAATGTTAATCCAGAGTCTTTTCTTTAAAACATCCATGCAGCTTTTCTACAGCATAAACCTTTTTAAAATACAAGAAATCCATTTCACATATTCAGTTAATACTTTTACCTTCATACTTGCAGAAGCTGCCATTGAATTATTTTCCACAGCTGAGATACTTCCCCCATAATCACAAAAAGCAGCTTTCTGGTTTTAACTCCTCTTCTTGGAATTTGGAAGGTTGAAGGAGCTATAGGAGGAAGCAGACTGAAAAAGGCTGGAGGGAGAAGTTTATTCCCAGGCTCCCTGTTCCAAGACGTGTTGTGGTTACTCTGGTTTGGCCCCATTAATTGAAAGTGGCTTCCGGATCTGAGCTTAGCAAGCATTGCCAAATTAAGAAGGCATGGAGAACAGAGAAGACCACCTTCCACCGCAAAGCCCAGCTGCGAACAGTCCTTTGGAGTAAAATGTGAATTGCCACCCAAAGCTAAGCATGTTTGCATGGAAGTAAGTCTTACTGAGTTCAGTGGAGCTCATTTCTGAGTAAACGTGATTAGAATTGCAGTGTTATCTCTATGCATGTTTATTCTGAAATAAGCCCCGCTGTGTTGAACAGGGCTTATTCCACTGTAAACCAAAGGCCTGGGACAAGCCTCGTTGAGCACAGCTGGACCTGTCTTTCAAGTCAGCATATTTAGGATTGAGCTGCCTATGTCAGTTTGGGTAAAAAGGGGTGTGTGCTTTACATTCAGGCTGTAAAGGAAAGAAGGGAGAGAATTTCTTATTTGAAGTTACCTCAAAGCAGAGGTGCTAGACGTCTCGTTCCTCACCAGTCCCAGAGCAACTGTTCTTTTGCCAACAACTTGTAAGGGTATGAAATTAAAGGATTTGTTTTAATTTGTAAGGGGCTGTATTTAATTTTAAAAACCTATATGAGCAGGCAGACAGGCTGTTTGAAATTGTGGGTTGGTAATTGTCGCGGGCTTGCTTGGAAGGCTGGACCAGAAATAATTGCTGTGCAATCTTCTTGGGAAGCCAGATGGATGTAACAGCCAGCCGTTCCACCTGAGGCTGCGGAAGAAAACGCAGCTGATCCTGGGATCTGTAGCTTGTTAAGGGTGCTTACGTCACAGAGTTACAGTTCCCGGCACCCTTTACAAGCTATATTTCTTAGGATTCTCCGTGAATGTTAAAATGGTGTAGCAACACTTTAATGGTATGGTGTACATGTGACCTAAGTCACATTGGGAGCTTCCTTAGCTGAAAAGTAACTTGCAAATGCATAGAATGCATTATTGTGGCTAGACCCCAAAACCTTGTGACTGTTTTGACAGTGAAGGCACAGCAGAGGAAATGCTCCAGGAGGTCAAATTGTCTCCGTGCGTTTCAGGTATAAGTGGAAAGCTGAAACAAAAGAGTAAGCAAAAGAAAACAGAACAGTGAAAGTTGAGGAAATTAAGAAAACACTGATCAGAGTAGAGGGAAGAAAGGGGGGTCACTGTCGTATGGTGAGTCAAGGACAAGAAAGTTTGGTTCACAGAACGGGAAGCACCTATGATCAGAAGGGTCCCTAACTCCCTAGAGACTTAGGGACCTATAACATGGGCCATGAAGCTAGTAAGGGAATGTGCTTCAGTCCTGATAGGATAATTTCGGCACCCCTTGTAAATGCCTCTGAGGAGGAAAGTGGCAGCTCAAACAAAAGGAGTCTGATCCGTCTGACAGCTTCCCAATGCTCTCTTCTGTCCTCAAAGTTCCCTGCCTAAGAAGAAAAGTAAAATAACAGTTCAGAGTCATCCAGTGGTGAAACCACAGTTCCAAGGCAGAACATTTCTTCTTTAAATCCTTTCTTGCTTGTTCAGTAACTAAATCAGACAGCTCCATTTATCCTGCCAGGCTGTTTTGTCCATGCATGCCCACGTGCCCTACACCTGATGTCAGATGAGGGGCAGGTAAAGGTGGGGCTTGGTTGAAAGGGGCTTTGCAGGCACAATCGGCTGGCTAAAGTGCTGTGCTCAGCAAACCCAAACCTCTGGGGCAGTGCTTCCCAAGCACCCAACAATCAGCTGATTGTCAGGAACTTGGGAAGCACAGCACAAGGGGCTCTGCAAGCTTCATTCGGAAAGAAAAAAAAGTTCTGTGTTTTATGTGGCGCACTCCTCTCTCAGAAGGAAGCAGGTTGTATTCAGAGTGCTTCCCCAAGCACTTTGAATACAAGCTGCTTTCTCTGCAGAGGGACAAATGCTCCAGTTTTAGAAACATCTTCAGCTGATGGTCCATTAAAAGGGAGCCTCTTTGAAGGCACACTAAATCCTTATCTTTCAGTGTGGTTGCTCTAGCAGACAAATCAGCATCTGCAGCAACCTCCTTTGAACTTTGCCTCTTGTCAGTCACCTGATGTCATGACACTCTGTGACCAACAAGTGGTTGGCTCCTCCCACCCGTCAGTTGGTCTGCAGTGGGTGAGGGAGATAAGAATCCAGCTGCCCATTCCTAGTGTAGTTGGTCCTGAGCTAGATGGACCAATGATCTGACTCAGTGTAAGGCAGCTTCTTAGGTTCTTGTGCTCCACCTTGGTTAGGGGAATACATCTACTAATGGTCCATTCCTTAATTGTAACCGGCTCAGGGAGACGCTGCACTGGTGTTTGCATGGCCCGTCAAGTAGCTTAAGAGGAGAACAAAAGTTGGGAAGCGGGCACACGGAATTGTGAACCGTCAAAAAGCATGAAAGACTCCATGTAGCACTAAGCAGTAAAGAGGTCCTGTGGTGGTCTCCTGGTCTCCAGCGTGCAAATACTCTTTCGAAGCGTTAGGATTTCATGTAGCAGTGGATCGCTTCCTCAGTTTTGCCACATCTATCCCCACAACACAACACCTGCCCCAAAACTTCGGAGTAATATGAGGCCATTGGATATCCGCGAGGCTATAATGTACCCCACAGAAGAGCACAAAATGGGTGGCTGTGTAACATAGGGCAGCTCTCCTGTGATTCTGGCAAAACCAGTAAGTAAGGATCTGCCTGCCTGCGCCATTTCCTTGTAAGTGTTAAGGTAGAATGGGGTGTATCAAGAAGTAATTGCTCATGCAGTCACTTTATATAGCCCAGGTTAATAGTAGTAGTAGTAGTAGTAGTAATAGTAGTAGTAGTAGTAATAAAACAACACTTCTATTATTTATATGCTGCCCATCTGACTGGGTTGCCCCAGCCACTCTGGGTGGCTTCCGGCAATTATAAAACCACAGTAAAACATCAAACAATAAAAACTTGCCTTCACTTCTTTATTTGTCTCCAGTGTAAGGATGCCACAGTATAAGCCTTTTATCAGTCTTGGCCGTCAATCATTTTGCCTTCATGAATCTTAAAAGTGTGTGTGGGGGGGTGTCTCTCTATTTTTGTGATTCCAAAGCATCCTTGCATCACACATCTGGAAAAACCAGTTAATTCTGCAGTCTAAACCTACTCCACCTCCATGCCCCACCTAGCAAAGGGTGTATGGACAGTAGGAGTGGCGAAGGAGGTGAGGCTTCCTTATCTCTACAGTCACCCCTTGTCATTATAAATCAGTTGCAACCACCTCTGTGCTGCTTGCATTCCAACTAGGCAATGGAAACAACTCATCTCTCTCACCCTGCTCTACAAAGCTGCCAGGGCTCTCAAAAGCTTCTCAGTGGCTGCAGCAGAGGCAGTTTAGGCAGAGGTCTGGCTAGCTAGAGCTAACCCTCTTGTTACTTCGTCACATCAAAAGTTCAGTATAACCAAGTTGCAGGATTTGAGCGCAAGAGCACTCTTCTCCTGTTACCATATTTTTCGCTCTATAGGACGCACTTTTTTCCCTTCAAAAATGAAGGGAAAATGTGTGTGCGTCCTATGGAGCGAAGACGCCATAGCCCCGCGATCCTCTCCCGGCTGGAGAGGTGACGCGCGGCTATGGCAGGAGCCTCTACAGCCCCGCGTCACCTCTCCAGCCGGGAGAGCGCGCACGGGGCTAAAGAAGCACCCCGCGACCCTCTCCCGGCTGGAGAGGTGACGGGCGGCTATGGCAAGAGCCTCAATAGCCGCGCGTCACCTCTCCAGCCGGGAGAGCGCGCGGGGCTAAAGAAGCACCACGCAACCCTCTCCCGGCTGGAGAGGTGACGGGCGGCTATGGCAGGAGCCTCTATGGCCGTGCGTCACCTCTCCAGCCGGGAGAGCGCGCGCGGCCCGCAGCCCTCTCCCGGATGGAGAGGTGACGCGCGGCTATTGAGGCTCTTGCCATAGCCGCCCGTCACCTCTCCAGCCGGGAGAGCGCGCGGGGCTAAGCAGCCCCGCGACCCTCTCCCGGCTGGAGAGGTGACGGGCGGCTGTTGAGGCTCCTGCCATAGCCGTGCGTCACCTCTCCAGCCGGGAGAGCGCGCGCGGGCTAAGAAGCCATAGCCCAGCGACCCTCTCCCGGCTGGAGAGGTGACGCACGGCTATGGCAGGAGCCTTTCCGCTGCGCCTTTCCGCTGCTCCCTGAACTGCTCTTTGGGGCTGGTGGTGGGCTTCCCCCCGCCAGCCCCAAAGAGCAGGTCGAGGAACCTGAAGCCTGGAGAGCGAGAGGTGTCAGTGCACACCGACCCCTCTCGCTCTCCAGGCTTCCAAGGTAGCCGCCTGAACGCACCTTAAACGGAACCTTGTTTTAGAGCGGGAAAGCAAGAGGGGGAAAGTTCTCCCCTCTCTGCACAGCGCCTCCTGCCACTTCGCTGAAGGGGCGCTGGGCAGAGAGGGGGAGAATTTTTTTTTCTTGTTCTCCCCCCTCTAAAACAAAGTGCGTCCTATTGTCCGGTGCGTCCTATGGTGCGAAAAATACGGTAATTAATTAAATAGGCACACACACATGTATAGTGGGTTGCCTAAGGCTTCCTAGAAACACTTGGCTGGAACTCTGTAAAGGGGCCACTCATGTATAAGCCCCAGTAAAATTGTGTGTGAATAACATGGCAGGATTACACCTTAAGTGTCCAAGCAGGGATTTCAAACACATACTAATTTAACATCATAGCTGTTCTGCCATGCCAACTGTTCCATGTGGGAAAGGCCCTCATAATTGCTCTTTGTTTTGTAAGGCACTGGCAAATAAGGGAGGACAAAGATGCTGTTAGGTGCCTTCGCGAATCACTGCCAAAGTTCAGGCGGTTATTTGGTCACAAAGCAGGCTTTGGCAAGGAACATGGAAATACAGTGTGTTACACTACCACTGCTGGACTTACAAAGGCCAGTGTCTACGGCAGCTTTCCGCTCTGATAAGGTCCTTAAGCCTTTCTTCAGCAGAATGGCTGCATGCTCAAAATGTGTGGGTTTGTACCAAGAGTCTGGAATCATTGTCCTATTTTCGTTTTTTTTAGCTTGGGAACATCCCGAGATCTCCAAAGTGGAACTAAAATACACAGAAGAGTTCATTTGTTTCAACAAGTGGCCTAAAAGTGGCTTTCTCCCTTCTATGGCCAGTTTGGCTGACATTTAATCCATGCAAGGCTGGGAGCTTGGTTTCTGCATTGGAAACTAGTAAATGTCATTCGCACAGATTTACACATTCAGTAGACTGAGGCAGCTTTCATCTGCAAAGTGTCAAAGTTCAATGGATGCCAAGTCTGGGGGGAGGGGGATGAGGAATGGTTTCTGCTGTCTTCATACATTTTGCCTACATCAACTGGATCTGTTTTTTCCTTTGCTCACAGGAAAGGGGTGCGTGTGTTTATGTGTTGCTATATACAGTTGTGCATTTTGGTCCTGTTTGTGGGTTGCTACTTGCAGTTAATCTGGGAGTGTTTATACAGTGCAGTCCCTATGCATATTAATTCCAAAGGAAATCCCACTCTGTTCCATGGTGCATGCTCTCAGGTATTTAGGATTTTCGGTGTTGCGTTCTGTGGTTAGCACTGCAGATTGCAAAGAACATAAGTATCGCAGAAAACAGGAGTCCTGTGTCAGGCTCTTTCCACTGGTAGGGTCTAGTTCAACTTGCTCTGTACCCTGATGCTATTTCAATCATTTCACCAGCAGCAGCCAATTAAAAGCACATTGAAATGATGGAAGGGCTCAGGGTAGGTTAAGCTAGTTGTGGGAGTATGGGAGGGTAGAAAAGCTCAATGCAGACCTGCAGATTTTGTTACAACAGCCTGTTACTCTTTGTAATGTGAAGGGGAAGGCAAGTGAAATCCCTGCAATGGAACAGAGAAAGAAAATAATATAGACAAAGCCCAGAGGAAATCTTTTCAGCACAGGAAAACCTTCTGCTACGTGAACACTGGATTGTAAAGGTTCTATGAAAGTACAATTACTGCCCAATTAAAGAAAACTTAATCAATTGATTCAACAAATTGAATAATGTATATTGTATAATGCTCAGGCAATTTGTTTTAAAGATTTAAACTTGTTTATCAGCTTGTTTTATGGGGGGATACATGCTTGGTTTTAGAGGTACCATCTTAGGCTATATGTTCCCTTCTCTGTGAAAGTGAAGGGAGAGTACCTCTTCCAATGTGGACCTAGCCAATTTTAGGGGAGTGGACTCAGGTTTCGCTATCTGAACACAATGCGTTATCAGGAAATCATTTGTTAGGTAAGCGTTCGCCGAATGAGTCAATGATTTCCATCAATTTCTGTGGTAAAAATTCTACTGTGTTCCCGGCTATGGAATTTTGACCCCAAAGTGATGAAGAAACTCAAGAAAACCCTCTGAAACTTTGCAGAAGGGAAATAAGGAATGTCCAGTGTCTCACTCCCTCTCTCCCCAATGATTTCTGGTGAAACGGCTGCACACACCGGCAAAACACAAAAAAGTGAGACTTGTTTAAGGTTGCTTATTTGTTTACAGGCAGGTCTGGCTATTTGGATATCTGAATCTGCAGTGTGTATAGTGAGGTTTGGGTACTAATTGCTCTTGTTTGGATAAGTGAATTTTCATATAATGAACATTTGGATAGTGGGGCCTGTGTGTATATTAGAATGTGTTGGGGAAGTCTTTTCATAGAATCATAGAATCATAGAGTTGGAAGAGACCACAAGGGCCATCGAGTCCAACCCCCTGCCAAGCAGGAAACAGTTGATTTAAAACTGGGGCAGGGAACTTGTAGCCCCCCCCCCCCAGATGTTGCTGACCTATAATTTTCTAGCATCCCTGACTGTTCACCATGCTAGCTTAGTCTGATGGGAGTTAGATACCAACAATATCTGGAAGGCCACGTGTTCTCCACACTGAGTCAAAAGTTTCTTTTTTAACTAACTGATTAATTAATTAATTAAAGGTTACAGTCCTGATTAAAACAACAGAGCTCTGGTCAACACATTCTCTTACTGGAGGCAAAAGAGGGGAGCAGGCCGGTCCCACACACCATAGTGGATTTCTAGCAAAACAATTGGCTACGGCCTCTGCTTCTTCCATATTTTCTTTCCCTTGTGGGCTGGCAGTTGAAAGTGTGTGGATAATTAGTACTGGGGGGAGGCTGGATGGGGCCAGTTGTTGACACCTCAAGAATACCGTCAAACAGAGGTGGTCAAAATGCTGTTAACTAATCTCATGGAAAGTTGTATCTGGGTGAAATGGAACATGGTAAGGGACATATTACAGTTCTGCCAACACAGAATTTGTGAGGTGATTCTCTCTTGAATTAAAACTGTTGAACGGTTAATAAGAACTGTAGAACAACTATGCCAAAATTGCTATTGCAGATTTTAAGATGCCTTTCTACCCTAATGGGGGAACCAGTTACTATTTATTTCAATGGGAGAATAAGCCAAGGGGGAGGGGAGGAAATTCTTAAAGCAGACTCCTGCAGTTTATTTTTTTCTCTTATTAGCTGTTCATCTCCACAATAGCCTACGAAAAGAGTTCTCCAAAGCCTAATTATAATAAATTTGTGGATGACTCATGCTGACCACATTCGCAATTCCTCTTCTCCCCACAGAAATCTTGGATAGTCCCACAGCACATTATTATTTTCCCTGATAATTTTCTCAGAACTGCAAGCTTCCTTGGCGCACGTTAAGGCACACATTTTGATTTAATATTTCTGTAGAACCCCATCTGATTTAGAAGTTTGAGGCAGCTAGCAGTAAAAGCAGGACGAAGAAACCAAAACCCATCAAATATCCAACACGCCAAACTGGACTACATGTGAGGGGAAATAGGGTACTAGCAGAAACGGCATTCCCATGTTTAGCTCTTTCTCCTCAGTCTAGTATGTGGTAGCACACGCCATTTGTAATTATGCCATGGTGCTGTTAACAGATTGTAGGCCTCAAGGCAGGGGGCCCCAGTTACTCTTAGCACTTTTGAAGTAGTTGTTTCTTATGTACCTTCCCACAGACATGCTCACATCATTCCTGTCCCCTCCAACAATTCTCTCCCCCTAAGCTACTTTTCCATTGTAGGGGAATTTTTCGGCACTTTCCCACCCAGATCTGTAGCCAAGCTGGGGCAAATGGGTACCCAGCCACCCGTGAGCTGTGCTTTACCTCTGCTGTCTCCTCCACCCCATTTTTTGGGGGGGTGTTGTCTTTTTAATTTGTGACAATGACAGCCTCCACCTAAAGCAGTGTTTCCCAAACTTGGGTTCTCCAGCTGTTTTGGGACTACAACTCCCATCATCTCTAGCTAGAAAGACCAGTGGTCAGGGATGATGGGAATTGTAGTCCTGAAACAGCTGGAGGCCCAAGTTTGGGAAACCCTGATCCAAAGCATGACAGCTTGTTTTAAAAACAGGAGCAATTTAAGAACCGGGCCCTCTGAAAAAAAATTAGTGAACAAGGCAGGGTACATGTATAACAGAACCTCAGCTGGAAGAGCCCCTCCCCCAAAGTCAGCCCAGCAGCCATGAAGGGGGAAAAAATCAAATTAATTTCCACAGTTGGATTCCAATCACCTAGCCCTAGAAAGGACGGTAGAGACAAAAAGACTGGGTGCCCCCTGAGCATGTCAGCGCCAGATTGGTTTGCCCCTTTGTTACTGAAAGGATCATCACAAGGATAGGAGTGGAATTGGGATTGTTGCCTGAGTGAAGTAAAAGAAGGGGCCAACCCCAACCTCTCTCACCACCAAAGGAACACAAGTGAACAACACAAGCAACGCTGACACCAAACTCTACATACATTAAACATAATAGAAACACCGCCACCCGACCCCACCCCCATCCATCTTCCCTCTCTCCACCCCCCTTTCTTTTTCTTTTTCTTTTTTTCCTTCTCCCCCTAATGCCTCAACAAATGAAATGGATTTGTAAAAATGTTACATGGAAAGAAAAAAATACGAGGCACTACACTTCTGTAAAACAAGAAAATCCTTAATAAAATATTTAAAAAAAAAAAAAAAAAGAAGGGTAGTAACAAAGGAAGGAATGGTCCAGTGACACCCGTGCCCTGGGAATTTATTTGAGAATTTCTACATCCCTGTGTGCAATATGCATTCTCTCAGGCTGCATCCACACCATATTTTTACAGCGCTGTTGAATCCCTTTAACAATTATGACTCCCCCCAAAAAAGAATCCTGGGAATTCTACAGTTAGTTAAGGGTGTGGAGAGTTTTTAGGAGACCCCTATTCCCCTCACATAACTACAATTCCCAAGTTCCATGGGAGGAGAGATGGATTGTTAAACTACTCTGGAAATTGTGAGAATCGGGGTCTCCCAACAACTCTTGGCCCCCTTAACAAACTACAGTTTCCCAGGATTATTATTTTTTTTGGGGGGGGGGGACCACAACAGTTAAAAACGGCTTAGTAGTTCTTTAATTGTATGGTGCAGATGTGGTCTCACTCTCAAAGGCCATAGGTGGGGAAGTTACACTTTTGGGTCAAGATTCAGGCCTCAGTATCTGTAGAAAAGTTTTGTGTTCATTTGTTCAATTTGTATCCTGCCCCTTTCTCTCTGAAGGGTACCCAGGGCAGTCAGCAGCACAAAACCCGAAATAAAACAACATCCAGTATGCAATAATTAAAATGCCCTAAAACTCCTAAACGCACCTATCCCCTGCCGAAAGCCTGGACAAATAGCAAAACATAACCATTTCCAGAAGGGTAGCTGTGTTAGCCTGTTGCAGCAAAAACAACACCAGCTGCATCTGATGAAGCAGGACTCTGGTTCATGAAAACTAAGCCATAATAAATGTGTTAGCCTTTAAGGTGCCACAAGGCATTTTGTTGTTATATAAAAATGGATGTCAGATGGCTGGGATCAGAAAGCCCTCTTCCCAGAGAACTGCTGCGAATTGATATCTAAGCCCTGTTTTGACTCAATGGAAGCCATCTTCATTTATTCGTCACCATAGATTGCAGTTTACAGAATAATAATAGATTCTCTGCACCTTAAAACCCCAAATTTTGACAGTGGAGAAGGCAATGATTTTGTTTTTTCCAATAATCATTTTTAATTTTGTCTTGAACTGAAATTGCATTAGCCTTTCACTTTTGTTTTTTATTGTCCTGTATGACTGATGAGATTTATCCTTGCACTCTCCATTAATGGTGGGGTTTTGAAATTTAATTTTCTGTCTCGCATTTTTTCTTCTTCTTCTTCTTAGGTTTTGTGCAATGGCCCAGGAACTTGCGTTCCCATATGCGCATCTGCCCTCCTGCTCAGGATGCTGGGGATAAAAAGCGTAACCATTGTATACGTCGAGAGCATCTGCCGCGTGGAAAACCTGTCTCTGTCCGGGAAGATCCTTTACCACTTTTCAGATTATTTCATCGTCCAGTGGCCTGCGCTCAAAGAAAAATATCCCAAGTCTCTCTATCTTGGGCGAATCGTGTGACAAGAAAGGACAAGCTCAATGTGTTTTAGTACCAACGCTGATGTTTTTTTCCAACCGGTCTTTCATAAGTTTACACAAGTCAAGCAAGACTCATTAGTGTATTTCTAAAAACCAAAGTGGACCATATGTGCATACCACCCAGTATTGCATAGCTGGACACCACAAGATTATGCTTCTCTTTCCAGTTGCCGTCAGGAACTCAACTCTACCTCTGTTGCGTCACTTTGGTTTCCAGGACTGCCGTCCTTCATCCTCATCTCTTAAAAAAACCCCTTTCTGATGAGTCAGGGAATAAGGTAAATGGAGTAATATGGCAGGGGGGAAAGAATATTAGTTTGTGATGAAATTGCACAGCGGAGTGGATTATTTATGCAGTGTCCATCAAGGTGCATGGCACTGTAAAAAACAGTAAGAAAAAAAAGCCTCTCCCCTCCCCAGCTTTCATTGGATATAAGTATTTATTTCAATTTTCTTTGTGTTGATTTCCCTTTTTTCCTTTATGTTTTGTATGCACACACACACACACACACACACACACACACACTTTTATCCGTATAAAACATGAAACTGACGTTTGATGTTGGCTTATCCCTAAGGTACCACCTAGGAATCATGGAAGTAGGGCTGGTCCCCTGCAATCATCTCATTCCCAATCACATAATAATGTTTTATTCACCTACTGTCACAAGTTTTTCCCCAGTCGCTAAAGGCGAGGATGTTGGCTGGTGCTCTAGTCTATTGCAATGAGATCCCGTTGAGATTTTATATGGAGAATTCCAACTGATAAGATACTGGCCTTGGTCAGATGTTGACATTCCACATTTCCTTCTGCCCTCTTTTCCATGTGGAACAAGTCAGAACTGGAATGGGCTGTATTTATTTGCACACAGCTTCTCCCTGACCTGTTCACTCTACCCGTTACCCACCTTCTGGTGTAAGACTATGTGGTGTGGTGGGATCCTGAGGTCTCTCCTCAAAGGCCATTCGGGGCAGTGGCTTTAGAGCCATAGCTGCACTGAGCGGTTGCTTAAACATGCCCCTTAAATTATAAGAAACAGAATCTTGTTCTGGTACCAAAGCCCTTGTTTCCTGTATGCAAGCAGCAAAATCCCTAGTGAATATTTTGTGCATAAAGGAAACGGTCGTATTAACTTGGCCTGAGGACAGTTTTCGTTCTGCAGCCTTTCCAAAAAAGAAACCCCACAGCATCAAATCCACTATCATTTTTCCTTTTGGCCTCTCAAAAGTTGGCCCTGTGTTCTAAAGTAAGCTTTCTAAAGCATTGTGTTTAATTGTTAAGATAAATAAAGAGGTAGCGGATGTCACAAGCAGATGAACCGCATGTGCACAAGGGAGACAGATTTTTTCCAAGCTGAGCGTTAAATCTTTTAACAGTGTTGAATTACAGGGAGGAAACTGTCATTAGGAAGCAGTGAGACTCTTTAGCCCACTTTGCAGCCCCATGTGTGTATAATGAGCGTTAATGATGCCAAAAAAAGGTAAAATGTCACTTTCTCAGTGAACTTAAGTATATGTAGGTTTTGTATGTTTAAAAGTTCAAGACATGTTTAGTTAGCGTGTGAAGCCATTCCCTCCCTTAAATGGGAAATGGCATTTAATATCAAACACTGTTAGCAAAATCCAGTCTCCCATAATATCTATTTTCTAAGTCTGTTGCAGCCTTTTTTCACCCATCTGGCAAATCATAACTATATATGTTGTTCTGTATATAGAGCAATGTAAACACATCTGTCATCTGCATATACTGAGTCACATCGATGAACAAATTTTGGCTGGAGAAACATATACATTGAAGAGAGTAACAGAAAAGTGGGAAAGGTCCACATGATGCACAAACGAAACACAAGGAAGCCGAACAATAATCCTATACATCACTGCAAGAGAGTGATAGTTTTTACTTTCTATAGTAACTGTGACTTTTGATCATTTTTTCTAGAGGGATGTTAAAATATGGAGAGGGATAGCTTTGATACGAAGAAGCGAAGGTGCCTGTGGTTTGCAAACTGTTCGGATGAGTAGGGTTTTTTTTAAAAATTAAAAGCCTGCTTCTCTATAAGTATTCATCTTGATGCTGCCATGTTGATACGGGAAATAACATTTATCAGAAGGTGCTCTTCAGTTTGGCCGAAAGGTATGCTTCAATTAATATCCCATGAAGCCTAATTCACATTTTGGGAACACTCTGTTTTCATTTCGGCAGAGGAACTGGCATCTACATGAAGCTACTGGAAGACATCATCTGGTGATTTGGAGCATGGCGCCACCAACATGCAGGTCTACCCAGCTCCGTATCTCCATTCCATCGGAAAGGCTGTGCAGGTGCAGGTGGAGTCTGATGGACTAGATGAGGACCAGTAAACTGATGTTGAATTCTGAGAAGATTGAGATGTTATGGGTCAGCCATTCCCAAGTTCAGGAGTTAGGAAGATGGCCTGCCCTGGGTTGGGTAAAACTCCCACTGAAAGAGTAGCTATGTAACTTGGCAATTCTCATCATTTCCAAGCTGTCACTGGGGCCCAAATGACTACGGTGATAAGGAGTGCTGATGCCCAGCTCTGGATGTTTCACCAGCTACCACTGTTCCTGGACCAAGATAGTCTAACCTTGAATATCTATGTTCTAATAACCTGTACAGGCTACTACAGATATCCTTGAAAATAGTCCAGAAGCTGCCACTGAAAGAGCAGTGAGAAGGAATCTTATCGCCTGATCTTCACTGCATTGGCTGCCAGTGAACTACCACACACAGTTCAAAGTGCTAGTGTACGAAACCATGAACAACTTGTCACCCAAGTAATCGAAGGAGCGCCTTTCTCAGTACAGTGGTACCTGGGGTTACAGACGCTTCAGGTTACAGACTCCGCTAACCCAGAAACAGTACCTTGGGTTAAGAACTTTGCTTCAGGATGAGAACAGAAATCGCACGGCGGCGGCGGGAGGCCCCATTAGCTAAAGTGGTACCTCAGGTTAAGAACAGACCTCCGGAACGAATTAAATTCTTAACCCGAGGTACCACTGTACTTTCTAATCTGGACTTTATGATCAATGGGAGAGGCCCTTCTCATGGTTCCATCAGTGTTGGCAGTAAGGAAGATGGTCACACAAGACAGCATTCTCAGGGGCGGCACCTTGCCTATGGAACAAGCTGGTTTTCTCCTCTAGAGGGTAGGACTTGAACCAATGGCTTCAAGTTACAAGAAAGGAGATTCTCAGTAAACATCAAGAAGAACTTTCTGACAGGAAGAGCCATTTGACAGTGGAGCGGTCTCCCTTCAAAGGTTGTGGACTCTCCTTCCTTGGAGGTTTTTAAGCAGAAGTTGGATGGCCATCTGTCATGAATGCTTTAGCTGAAATTCCTGCATTGCAGGGGGTTGGACTAGATGACCCTTGGGATCCCTCCCAACTCTACAATTCTATGATTCTATGAACCTCCTCCTGGGTGAAATCAGGTTGTCCTCCACTCTAGGCAGAATTTGGAAGCTCACCTATTTGTCTAGGCCTTGGAGGTTTAACTGGTGTTATGGAGCTCTTAGCTTCTGCTGTTTTTATTGATGAGAACCTGTTAGTTCATTTAATGGTTTTGTGAAGAATGCGTTGTTTTATGCTGTTAGCCACTCTGTGCTCCATTGTAGGATGAAAGGCAGGATACAAAAATGTGAAATATATTTTTTAAAAGAAATTAACAAATATTCCCATCCAGTGTGAATACATAGACCTCAGCTTTCCCTACTGTAGAAAACAGTGTTTGGTTTCTAGTGCATTTTTATCCTTTGGCTTAGGTGTGAAATAAATCAAATACCCAAAAGTAACCTTGTGTTTAGCTGCTGCAGAGCCATTAATGTGTTTAATGGCTTCTCCATGGAACCTAAAGGGATAAAACGCTTTCTTGGGAAGAATTCTGTGCAAAATGTATGGCTCAGCACTTAATATCCTTGGGAATGACCTGACCCTGGCTTCGACTTATGTGTGCTAGCTTTTGGCCTAGTAACTCAAATGGGGGTTATATTATCAGGACTTCCTGCAGCCTTGCAAATTGTTTCGGTAAATAAAGGAAGATATACTTACTGCCTGTTATGGCTAAAACTTTTCGTTCCCTGGGAATATTTATTGCACGGTCCTTATATATTTTTGTGTCACTCAGTTTGTTCTGTAGTCTAAAAGATGCTGCTGCACTGCATTTGCTTACATGTGGAACAACTCCCATAGCTCAGTGTTAATAGAAAACATAGGTGGTTGGAGGACTCTGGTTGGGTCCCCCACATTTCCAGTTGAAGCAGGGATGGGGAAGCTGTGGTCCTCCAGATGTTGTTGGACTCTTAATTCCCATCAGCCCCAACCAGCTGATGATGAGAGTTGTAAGCTGACAACATCTGGAGGGCCAAAGATTCTCTATCCCTGAGTTGAAGGATTTCAGCAAGACAGTGGAGAGACACACTTGCTCAAACTAACAGTAAAGACCTATATACTAAACCAGACCATTTGGTCCATTAATGCTAGATACAACTAAAGCAGATTATCATCATCATATAATTTATATCCTCACCTTTTAAGGGGGAAAATCAATTAATTGATTTTCAAGTATCCTAACTAACTAACTAACTAGATTTTTAAAAATCCATCAGTTAAGAATAATCTCAGCTGCTAAACAGGATAAGCCTTTTAAACATCAGTAAAGGCCTAAGTGGACGCAGGTGGCGCTGTGGGTTATACCACAGAGCCTAGGACTTGCCGATCAGAAGGGCAGCAGTTCAAATCCCCGCGACGGGGTGAGCTCCCGTTGCTCAGTCCCTGCTCCTGCCAACCTAGCAGTTTGAAAGCACGTCAAAGTGCAAGTAGATAAATAGGTACCGCTCCGGCGGGAAGGTAAACAGTGTTTCCGTGTGCTGCTCTGGTTTCACCAGAAGCGGCTTAGTCATGCTGGCCACATGACCCGGAAGCTGTACGCCAGCTCTCTCGGCCAGTAAAGCGAGATGAGTGCCGCAACCCCAGAGTCGGCCATGACTGGACCTAATGGCCTAAGTAAGCAGGCCTAGGTTTTTAACAAGCATTTAAAACATCCAAGCAATGAAGTTTCCTGAATCTCTTGAGGGTTTCCAGAGGGTTGGTGCAAAAACTGAAAAAGCCCATTTCCAGGATGTTTCCAGAGGACAATTCATGGGGCCATAGTATAGCCAGCAGGGTCTTCTCCTAAAAATGCGAGAAATGGCTGTGGTGCAGAAGCATTTGTGGGCAACAAAATAGGAGCTGGGTAGTTAACCCTTCCCTTGCCTGCTGCTTTTCCTCTTCAACTCCACCCTTCTCCAGCCCTCTATTTTCTCTCCATTTGCAGGGCAGGAAGGGAGGAAAGGGAGGCGGCCAGGTGGAGAGGTTGCAGAGGAGAAGCTGGGACCGATGAAAGCTTTCCCCCTGCAAATGCCACTCCCCTTCTTCCCACCCTGCTTTGCACATTGGTGCCTCATTGTCAGCAAACAATCAGTTGGGAATCCCTATCAGTTTTCAATTCATAACATAGTTGTTGTTGTTTTTCCAAAGTGGGGAGGGACATGACATTAAAAACTCACGTAGGCCATCCTTAGCAACTTTGAGGCAGGGTGGTAGAGAGATAAAGCTGATATAGGTGTCAGATGCCTTAGTTAGGGTAGGGCAGCAACAAAGAATGCTGCAGCATATGTTTTGCAGTTTCTTTAATGGTGTTCTGACAGTCTGGGTATATTAAAAGGCAACCCTAGTAGGGCTGCCCAGGGCAAGATGCATGTTTCTGTGGAGTTTTTTAATTTGCAAAGTCAAAGTCTTTACTTTGATCTGTACTGCAGTTTCATAGGCAGGTGTCATCCCTGCTGCCCTGCCTGCAACCTTTTTGCAGGGTTTTTTGGAAGCCACTCCTGGCTTGTTTAGACTTGTTTAGCTTGTTTTCAAAAGTTATCTGGTGTCAACACATTAACAGACTCTGGAACAGATGGATCTCGCCTAAAGTTGGGAAAACATCTCATCGCCAGTGGAACAAGTAAGATCCATTAGTGGAACAGGCTGTTTCGTTCAGCAACCAAAAGCCAAGGCCAAAGCACATTTTGAAGTCAAATCTGGTGCAAATGCCTTGATCGACCATAACCTTGATAGAGGAAAGATCTTAACCTAACGCTAAACTGTTACAGCCCAGTTGCTGCCTGCATAACAAAGCACAGGTCAGCTTCAGGCCTTGGTACAATAGAAGAAATATATTGATTTTAAATTTCATATATTGCTTCTTTCATCTCTTGCATTGCATTTCATTGTATTACAATGAGTGCAAATGGAATACAAATTGTAATACATTAAAATGCAATTTAAGTGCGGGGGGAGCAATGGAAATGCAATTTTAAAAAATCATACAGTGTCTATCACAGTGCAATACAATTGCTACAAAAAATTGGGAACCGTAGGTCTACCAAACAAACCAGCTGGGTGTTACAGTGCTTTGTCCTTCTGCCAGGATGCTTGGAATGTTTTTACACAGTAAATGTGTGGCCTTTTCCCACCTAGTTCTCTGTATGGCTCCCACTTTACCTCCCACAACAGGCAACACACCTTGGGAGTACAGATCAAGTCAGGAAATGCCACCTGGCCTGACTGTGAAGTTTTCTTCTCTGCCATGCTCATCAAAGAGGATATGTAGCATCAGCAACAACTTGCCCCCCCCCAAAAAAAAGCATTCCCAGCAGGATGCTCACTCCTGTGAACCTGCTGCTCAGTTCTGGTCTTGTTTGCAGCTGCACTCAGGAAGTGATACCGCCAGGAGACCTCACTTGCAGGCACTGAAAGAAGCTTTGATGATGCAGCGGACACAGGTTGCTTATTCTGGGCCTCTTCTTCTTTTCCTTAATGGAAACTTCACATGTGCAAAGATCTCTCATCTTACATAACAGCTCCTTCAGAGCCCCATAGAGAAAAGATGCTTCAAAGTAATGGATCATGAAATGTCATCTCAGACCAATTCTTCTGTCTTCAGGATGTTCCTGTTGTGTTCGTAGCTAAGTAATAGAGCAGGTTCCAGCAAAAAGTGCCAACAAGATTGGATTCCCCCACCCCAATCCTCTGCTCACTTGAAAAGTTGTTTCAGAGAGTATGGTTTGGTAAAGGCATATTAATGCAACAAATGCCGGAAATTTTGGGTATTTTGTTTTAGTCTGTTCATTCAGGACTAGCCACGAGTCTTTCCACAATCATTCTTTCTTTTACATTTCTCCTTTATGCAAGATTAATTCTTCTATATCCCCCCTTTGAAGCTTCCAAAAAATATGATGAAATAAATTATCTGCTGGATTTAATGAAATAAAAAACTGAAAACATGTCAATGAGGAATATAAATACAAAGAATATTGGCATCCAAGGACTGAATTTAGTTCTTCACAAATATGTCTCTTACTTGCAAGTATCTGAAGAAGTGTGCATACACACAAAAGCTTATATTCAGAACAAACTTAGTTGGTCTCTAAGGTGCTATTGGACAATTTTTTATTTTTTTTATTTCGACTGCATCAGAACAACACGGCTACCTACCTGAATTGCAAGTATCTGTCTATGTAACACGCCAAGACTCTTCACATTATGAAAACAATGTACACAATTATGAGTTTACAGATCTGACAATGCCTGAAATTTCGGTTAAAACTAACAATTTACACTGGCTGAAACCTGATTTCAGAAGGTGTTTTTTAAAAAGTATTGAAATGGTAATCTGAAGGCTATCAGGTGGAGAAATAGCTTATTCCCCATCAAAACTATTTTCATCAACAGGTGAAAGCAAAATCGAAGATGCTGCCTGACCCCTGTAAAAACCTATAGGTTAGACTGGTTCATTGATCATAACCATTAGAAAGATCTGCCGTTCTTAAATGCAGACCATCTTGGTCAGCACAGAAGAAGTTGGCCTGACAAGTTTAAGGCAGTGAATATAGAATTTTCACATTTTACTTTCCGATAACTCCATGGGGTAGGTTAGGCTGAGAAATAGTGACTGCCACAAGATAACCCAGTGATCTTAAAGTAAGAATTTGAAACCAGGTCTCTCTATCTAACTTCTGTATGCCAGCTGCTGCATCTACATGGCATAAAATGAAGTCTTAAATGATGGGCGTGTGATAAACAAGTGCCTGGAGTCTTTCTGTACAGACAGCGGGACTGCAAGTGAAGCAAAACTAGGTTGAGCTAGGGCAGGAAAAGCTTGAGAATTGTAGCATATTGGACCCACTTGCCTCTCACACTGCCTTTGACACATTCTGAGTGAACTCCCACCCCTCCCTGCTCTGCTCTAAATGTCCTAATAAAATTGTGAAGGGAGTGCATGCCTTTTAGGTGATAGATGCATTCCTGTGCAGTATCATAGGCACCCATTGCTAGCTTTGTGCTTCTGACACTTAAGAGAATCAATTGATTAAATGACGGCTGGAAGGGGCATTTTTAAAGAAACATTTCAGCAGCTTGATTTAGTTCGATCATTAACCCATTTAATCAATTTCAGGCGCTTATTCCTTTCCCCAGCAGAGCCATTTCTCTATACCCATAAGCTGCAACCTAATTTAATTTATCTCCCATGGGGGATAGTGGGGGGGAAAAGACTCCGCTTTGACAGTTCTTTAATTGGAATAGTGTTCACATTCTACTTTGTACATAACCATATTTTGTTTCTATATGCATTAAAGAATAAGCAAAGATGTGTGGTTAAAAGCTCGCAGGCCGGAGCAATAGCCTAAAGTTGTTCCAAAACCAATGTTGTTCCATATAAGTTGCCAGTGGTGTGAAAAAAATAATCTTAGCTGTTACCATTTGAGACAGATGCTTTCTGTATTTTGCCGAGTCTAAAGCAGCTGTTCATCATAAGCAGGTATGGCAAGTCTGAGAAGAGATTGTGCTCCTTTTGGGGTTTTTAAGGAGAAACCAAAGTCCCTTCTGTAGTGCCTCTTTTGTTGTTGCCTACCCACAAACATGCTGTTCAGGAGTCGTCCTTGTCAACCATCTTCACTTTCATCCTAGAGAACTGGTAACGATAAATTGCCGGATTCTATTTTAGTTAATGGGTTTTTTTTAGAGAAGCCGACACAGCAGAATTTGCATTCTGCTATAAATTAAGAGGGAATGATGATATACACTTAGTGGCTGACGCTGGTATGTGAGATAAATCAAAGTTAATCACTGGATTATCCGGTTTTGGCAAGGATCAACCTTTAAAATGAAAACAACAGAAACAAACACGATAGCTGAACTATAGCAACATGCGTTCTACCAACTTGTGAAACACCGTCAGTCTCTAATTAAACTGTCAAGTAAACTGAAGGACAGGAATTTCAGCAAAGATGCTTTGTGTATTGTTCGGGTGGTGTGTATATATAGATAGATATTTCTCATTCTAAATTAAAGTTCATAAACAGTATGATGGAGGAAATAGACCAAGGACTGAGAGTGGAAGCTTCATACATAACACTTGGAATTTTAGCTAAGGGGTATATGGGGGGGGGTGGATTCCGAAGGAATCCAGCTTTGCCATTATTATTTTTGTTTGTTCGTTTGTTTGTTGCCTTATACCACAAAGGTCTCAAAGCAAAGTTAGAAGTGCATGCA